AAATGGCAATTCTCGAAAAATAACAAGAATTATCGAAGAAATGAGGTCGAAAATGACTTCTAGATGTCGAAATCTATAAAAAAATGTCTTTGGCTAATTTTCGAAAATGGTCGAAACATGGTCAAAATTTTTAAAAAGGCACAATATTAAAAAATTGAGCTTTTAGAAAAGTTGTGTAAAAATTTACAAAAAATTCGAATCTACAGATCTTGACGTGCTGATTCGAAAAATATAGCCTGGTTATGTTTTCGGAGCAAGATTTTCAAAATATTCGCTTCAAAAATAATTTTCGTTTTCAAAATTCTAAAAATTATTTTATTTCAATTGGCAATTGTCTAAAAATAACAAGAGTTATTGAGAAAATGACGCTGGAAATAACTTCTAGAGGTTGAAATCTACAAGAAAATGACTTTGGCTAATTTTCGAAAATGGTCGAATAATGGTCAACATTTTTAAAAGGGGGCAATATTAAAAAATTGGAGCTTTTGGAAAAGTTGTGTAAAAATTCACAAAAAAGTCTGATGTATAGTTCTTCCCGCGCTGATTCGTGAACTATATATATATATAGTGTGTTTATAGGTCCGAAGTAAGATTTTTGAAATATTCGCCTCAAAAGTTTTTTTTTCAAAATTCTAAAAATGATCTCATTTCAAATTGGCGATTCTCGAAAAATAACAACAATTATCGAAGAAATGAGGCTGAAAATAACTTCTAGAGGTCGAAATTTACAAGAAAATGTCTTTGGCTGATTTTCGAAAATGGTCAAAGTATGGTAACAATTTTTTTAAAGGTATTCAAGTATTCAGAAATTGAGCTTTTGGAAAAGTTGTGTAGACATTTATAAAAAATTCGGGTATTTAGACACCGGCGTGCTGATTCGAGCAATATAGCCTGTTTATGGTCTCGAAGCAAAATTTTCGAAATATTCGATTTTATGGTCAAACTCTTTTTCAAAATTTTTAAAACTGGCATAAATCGACTGGCGATTCGCGATAAATGACAAAAATTATAGAAAAAATGAGGTCGAAAATAACTTCTAGTTGTCGAAATCTACAAAAAATGTCTTTGGCTAATTTTTGAAAGTGGTCGAAAATTGGTCAAAATTTTGATGATTTTAAAAAATTGGAGCTTTTGAAAAATTTGTATAATAATTCACAAAAAATTCTGGTATATAGATCTTGACGTGCTGATTCGTGAAATATAGCTTGTTTATAGTTCCGGAGCAAGATTTTCGAAATATTCGCTTCAAAACTAATTTTTTTCAAAATTCTAAGAATTATCTTATTTCAAATAGCAATTCTCGAAAAATAACAAGAATTATCGAAGAAATGAGGCTGAAAAAAACCTTTAGAGGTCCAAATCTACAAGAAAATGTCTTTGGTTAAGAAAATGGTCGAATAATGATAACAATTTTTATAAGGGGGCAGTATTAAAAAATTGGGCTTTCGGAAAAATTGTGTACAAATGTACAAAAAATTCAGGTATGTACATCTCGACATTCTGGTTCAAAAAATGTAGCCTGTTTATGGTGCCGGAGCCAGATTTTCGAAACATTCGTTTTGATGGTCAAATTTTCTTCAAAATTCTAAAAACTGTCAAATTTCGACTGGCAATTCTCGATAAATGACAAAAATTATCGAAGAAATTTGGTCGGAAATAACGTCTACATATCGAAATCTCCAAACAAATGTCTGGTTAATTTTTGAAAATGGTCAAAAAAATGTAAAAATTTTCATATTCAAAAATTTGAGTTTTTGGAAAACTTGTGTAAAAATTCACACAAAATTCTGGTATATAAATCTTGACGCGCTGATTCGTGAAAAATGCCGTGTTTATAGTTCCGGAGCAAGATTTTCGAAATATTCGCTTCAAAAGTTTTTTTTTTTTCAAAATTCTAAAAATTATTTTATTTCAAATGGCAATTCTCAAAAACTAACTAGAATTATAGAAAAATCACACTAAAAATAACTTCTAGAGGGCGAAATCTACAAGAAAATGTCTTTGACTAATTTTCGAAAATGGTCGAAGAATGCTCACAATTTTTATAAGGGGACGGTATTAAAAAATTGAGCTTTTAGAAAAGTTGTGTAAAAATTTACAAAAAAATCGGATTCATAGATCTCGACGTGCTGATTCGCAAAATATAGCCTGTTTATGTTTCCGGGGCAAGATTTTCAAAATATTCGCTTCAAAAGTAATTTTCTTTTTCAAAATTCTAAAAATTATTTTATTTCAAATGGCCATTCTCTAAAAATAACAAGAGTTATCGAAGGAATGACGCTGGAAATAACTTCTAGAGGTTGAAATCTACAAGAAAATGTGTTTGTCTAATTGTCGAAAATGGTCGAACAATTGTCAAAATTTTTAATACTAAAAAGAGCTTTTGGAAAAATTGTGCAAAAATTCACAAAAAAATTTTGTGTATAGATCTTGACGCGCTGATTCGTGAAATATAGCGTGTTTATAGTTCCGGAGCAAGATTTTCAAAATATTCGTTCAAAAGTATTTTTCAAAATTTTAAAAATTATCTTATTTCAAATGGCAATTCTCGAAAAATAAAAAAAATCGAGAATTCAGTTATCCGATTTCACTGTCACTAATAAAATTTGATCTTGTGATTTTCGTTTTGTCATAACCCCTATAAAGTCAAAACTAGTGTGGACAATATGAAATATATTTAAAGCAGATAACCAACGGGAAAAAATATAAATACTTATTCTCAATTTCTTAGTACAAGCTTAACTTCGACTGTTTATGTTTATACTTCGAATGAATTCGACTGTTAGCATGTTCAGATTACAAGCATCAGCGCTTAAAAGAAAAAGAAATTTGATTTTGTCTCCTCAACTCAGGGGAGAGGTCTGATTGATTAATTATTATTCATAGTCAGTTCTTTTCCCAAAAACACTCATAAATTTGAAAAACACTTCGGCAAAATTGTACGATGACGAATAAATTTTGATTAACGATTTACCATGCTTTCAATAACCTTAAAATGTTTGCAAGATTTCACAGCAATTGGTTTTTTGCAATTTCAAAGTTAAATTGTAAACTATTGAAAAAAAAATCATTTTTTGTCCAAAATTCTGGATCCCACGGGTAAAAACTCAACACGGATTCATGAATCGCACATTCAGGAGCATGTTATTTTATAAAATTTAAAAATTAGTATTTTTTCAATACCATATTGTTCATTTATTACAAAAAAATAAATAAAAACATGGAGCTACGTCAAATAGAGTACGAAAAGGTGACTTTCTCCAAACGGCTACTTATGGCGATTCACCTCTTCTTTCCGAAACAAACTTAGGAACCCGATTTTTTTTCATTTTATTTTTTTTCTTTGGTAAAAATATCCGTGATGATTTACTATCAATTATTAAAATCGTTCAAATTGAGCTTTTGGAAAAGTTGTGTAAAGATTTACAAAAAAATTCGGATTCATAGATCTCCACGTGCTGATTTGAAAAATATAGTTTGTTTATGGTTCCGGAACAAGATTTTCGAAATATTCGCTTTAGAAGTTTTTTTTTTCAAAATTCTAAAAATTATCTAATTTCAAATGGTAATTCCTGGAAAATAACAAGAATTATGGAAGAAACGAAGCTGAAAATAAATTCTAGAGATCGAAATCTACAAGAAAATGTCTTTGGGTAATTTTCGAAAATGATCGAAAAATGATCAAAATTATAGGGATAATATTAAAAAATAGGAGTGTTTGGAAAAGTTGTGTAAAAATTCACAAAAAATTCTTGTATATAGATCTTGACGCGCTGATTCGTGAAATATAGCGTGGTTATAGTTCCAGAGCGAGATTTTCGAAATATTCACTTCCAAAAATTTTTTTTCCAAAATTCTAAAAATTATCTTATTTGAAATGGCGATATACGGAAAATACCAACAATTATCGAAGAAATGGGCTAAAAATAAATACTAGAGGTCGAATCTACAAGAAAATGTTTTTGGCTAATTTTCAGAAATGGTCGAAGAATGGTAACAATTTTTATAAGGGGGCATTAAAAAATTGAGCTTTTGGAAAACGTGTGTAAAAATTTACAAAACAATCGGGTGTATAGATCTCGACGTGCTGATTCGAAAAATATAGCTTGTTTATGGTTCCGGATCAAGATTTTCGAAATATTCAATTTGATTATAAAATTTTTTAAAAATTTTAAAAAGTGACAAAATGCCAAAAATTATCGAAGAAATGAAGTCGAAAATAACTTCTAGATGTCGAAATCCACAAAAAATATCTTTGGGGCAGGATTGCAAAAATTGAACTTTTCGAAAAGTAGAAAAATAGTATAAAATAAACAAAATAGGACACTCAACCCTGCGAAAATTGTTCTTGGTCTTTAATATAAATATTATTTTCTTATTTATTTACATATCGCATTTTGTAAACTTCTATTTAAATCCTTCTGATAAAAATCCTTACCATAAGAATTTTTTTTGTGTATACATTTCCGAAGCCGGATTTTTTTTGCTTTCCGTTTTTCGGTTTTCAATACCTTTTTTGAATTTCGATTTGTTATAATTTGTAATTAAAGACTTTTGTATATTTTGTCTGAGTTTATAATTTTCTGGCACTCTACAGCTCGTAGCATACACAAATAAAGATTTCTTCTCTTCATGTGTTTGACGTATAATTTTTGGGTTTCCTTACACAATTAATTTTTGAAACTGCTCTGACATTCTTCTTGTGGGTTAAGATTATCGTGTAATCGTAAAACCACAATCAAAATTTGTTTAGTCATCCATCTAATCAACGAAATTTTGTCTGATCGAAAATTCATGACGTCATCACAAAAAATATATTAAATTTTTTAATTAATCTGACGCAGCAGGAGCGTAGTGGTACATTTCATATATCAAAATTTCTAATCTAAATTAATCTCTCTATTGACTTTACGTTCTGAAATTTATACTATTTATATTGCTATATAGTTAGCTGTTACTTATATGCAATGGCGGAGGCGCTGGGTAAAAAATACGCACTCTAAAAATTCATGTTTATAAATAAGTAATAAACCTTAGAAAAAACTTAAAACAAACATAATATTTCTTGAATAAAATATATCAACATGCAATAATAATACACAGTAACAAGACTGTTACACAATCTGTACAATTACATTGTATATATGAAAACAAACAAAAAAATTCACATTTTTGATCAATATACAGGACGTATCAAAGTATATTTTATATATTCTACGTACACCTATAACTTTTTGAACTTAAAAATCAGTTCGGAGTTGTCCTCAAGAGGATGTTCCCTTTCTTTACAATCATGTGACTACAACTAAACTGTTGGCACGGTTTACAATTAGTAATTACTTATTTAACACGACTTAAGTAATTTGTACACAAAAGTAAATGCTTCTGATTAATTCAATCGAATCATCTCTGGCCCCCTTGATATGTGCAAGTCAAACTGCCTCTTCTAACATTTCACGCGATTCTAATAAAGTTCAAGCCAGATGAGTATGAATTTCAAGGTCACACAACAGTTAACCCCAAAATCGGTCACAGATGGCTAGTCAACCACAATATCACCAAATATCACAGTTTAATAATTACAAACCAGTAGAAATCAACAACGTCCCCGCTTCAGCCGGCGGCGTGTCCAATTCATGACTATGTACAAAATTGAGTGGGTGTTTTTTTAAAATACTGGGATCTAAATTAAGTACCGGCGGCGTTGTACCCGGACTGGGCGTAACCGGAGCCACCAAATTAAACTTATCGTCGATACAATTCATTACATTCGCGATTTTTTGGTTGTTGTTGCAGGACTTCCGCTTCGAGTGAGGTAGCGCGTACTTTAACTTATTCCAAAAGTAGGGGTCCCCCCACTTCACGTAAGTGTTAGTCTTCAAGTAGGCTTTCAACTCGTCGTCCAACTTTTCGACGTCGACGTCACCGTACAACACTATGATAACCCGCGCCCGTCCTTCCGTCATCGCGTGAGTATGCGCAGTACGGAACTCCATTTTGCCCCAAACACTTTCGAGGAAGTTGGGGGAAAGCACGACTAGAGTCCTACGGGAGTTCAAAACGGAATTTGTGATTTGAGTGGAGATCATCTCCCCTGGGATGAAGTGGCGGTAGTGGAGGCAGAGTTTGTAGGGGGTTGAGCCACCTTCTAGCACCGGGAGAAGGTTCTGGATGATGAAGTCTTCGTCTTTGTGGGAGTAGCTGACGAAGGCGTCGTAATCTTTGTCTTTGTCGAGCTCCTCTTCGGTGACCCAACACAGGCAAAGATTGCGAGAGTACAACCAGATTTTTATTGGTTCCTGGTAACGGTAGTAAAGTACTAGTAGGGTTGTAAGTAAGAGGCCTATTATGAGGATGGGTAGGATGATATTGGCGATGCGCAGTTCGTGGCAAAGGTCGTTCTTGTTTAAGTGGATGAGGCGCCGGGAGGTGTTGTAACACAGAATGTCACGGTTATCAATCTAAAAACATTTTTTTTGTTTTACTTTAAGATATGACTTGAATTGTCTGAGTTGTACTTACCACTTTGCTGTGTTGTCTTAAGAAATTGGTGAAATTGACAGCTTCACACTCACACCGCCACGGATTATGGTCCAAAGTCATATTCACCAAGTATGAACCATTCAACTTTTCGAACACCCTATAATCCAAATGCTTGATTTTGTTGTTGTCTAAGTGTACCACCTACAACAAAAACACTATAATTAAGGCATTCAACTAAAATCTTGTGACTGTACCTTCAACTGTGACGGTAACCACTCCACCTTTTCGATTTTGTTGTCCGACAAATATAACCTAGTCACGTTCTCATATCCAGTTAAGTTGGCATCCAGCCCACTCAACTCATTTCCTTCCAAGTGAACTTCGGTTTGGTTAAACTGTAACTTGACCATCTGCAGAGACTCAATCTGGGGAAACTGAGCCATTTTTTTGTTAGAACAATCCAAAATTAAAGAAGTGTCAAAAGGTCTCCAACTACAGGAACAGTTGTCGGGGCAGAAATCTTCTTCGTCAATTTTTTCAAAACTACACAAGAGTAAGCTCTGTGGAACCATTTTAATAGGCACATCTTGAAGCTCCGGAGGATTTGCACAATAATTCTCGGTCCTTATGTCAAACATGACCTTGATTTTAGGATCGAGATCATCTTGAAAATACTTGACTAGGTTTAAATTGTAACAGTCGCAGTCAACGGGATTGTTTCCAAGAAAGATGACTGTTTGTGATTGCTCACGTGCAGAGTAAGCGTCTTTGACGTTTTCGGTCATTACATCTAAATGTTTGAAGTCGACGCTAGTTATTTTGTTGTTTTCTAAGTTAATGCTAAGTTTGGGGGCAAGAGGTATTAGATGACTCAACTGCAACAAAAAAGTTAGACGAATTAAAATAAATAAAATGAAAACTTACAGTTATGTTTGTGATTTGATTGGAACTCAGGTCCAAAGATCTCAGACGGACCTTGTTGTACAGAGTGATGACGTCACCGATTTGGGTGATTCGGTTGTGACTCAGATTGATCGTTTCAATGTTGACCACGTTGTCAAGAGAAGTAAAGTGGGCGTTGTACTCCCCTGTATAGAAATTGTGAGACAAGTCGATCTTCTTCAGTTCAGCGTTATTGTCGAAAGCTCTATTGTGTATTGTGACAATTCGGTTTTTCTGAAGAAAAATTTCTGTTAAGTCTGTCAAATCCTTAAAGTCATCCACTCCAATACGCTCAATTCGGTTGTTTTGAAGGTGCAAAATTTTCAGTTTCTTGAGTGAGGCAAAACTTTTTCCAACTGTCTCGATATGGTTATTGTCTAAATAAAGTTCCTCTAGAGTACGAAGACCCTCAAATAACCCTTCCGGTAAACCCTTCAGTTTGTTTCTCCCCAACTTCAACTCCTTGATGTTGGGCGAGTTTTCAAAAACACTCTTCGGGATATCGTCAAGCTTACAATTCGTCAAGTCGATATCTTTCACGACCGGTAAGTTCGAAAAAGCGTAGTCTTGAAGCTTCAAATTCGGGTTTCCTCTCATCGCTATCAACTCCAGTTTGGTATTGTGGCTGAAGGGGTCCGCCAGTACGCTTTTCAACTGATTCTGGGACAAGTTCACCCTCGATAGATTCATCAAACTCTTAAACGCCCCTTCCGAAATATTCTCAATCTTGTTCGCGCTCAACTCCAGCGACTTCAGATTCGTCAACCCTTGGAACGTCAAATCGTCAATCTGCGTCAGATTATTGCTCCACAAGTGCAAAAGCTCCAGCTTATCCAACCCCTTGAACAACCCTCCCGGGATACTCTGGATCTTGTTCTCCGACAAATCCAGCGACTTCAACATCGGCGTGTACCGAAACAGCCCCTCCTTCAAGCTAACCCTATTCAGCTGCATCTCCAGCGACGTCAAATTCGGGGTATTCGCGAAAACGTCTTCCTCCATGTCCACCAGCCCGTCGGCGTTCAGCTGGAGCGAGTCCAGGAACTCCAAACCCCGAAAATACTCCTTCGTCAACGTCACATTCGACAAATTAGAGCTTCCGAACTGCAGAAACTTGACTTCTTTTAGCGAGAAATGGTCCAGCACCTCTTTGAACCCGTTGGTCGGTAGAGGGCAGAACCTCATTCGGAACCTCTCGATCTTGTCGATCGTGATGTTGGGCAGCAAATTCACGTTAAATTTTTTCAAATTTGAGGCGCAGTCGATGAGGATTTCGATATTGTCTTTTACGTGGATGACGAATTCGCTGACATCGTCGAAGTTCGAGGGGCACTGGAACTCGACCTCCTGGACGCTGGGGAGGCACAAGCAGTTGTCGTTGTGGTTGCATTCTATGGTGGAGGCGGCGGGTTTGAGGCAGAAGAGCAGGATGAGGATCAGACACGCATTGTTCATGGTGGTGGCCTAGAAAAAAAGAAGCTTGAGTGGGGTCCCACAAGGGACTACGTCAGGAGCACTTCTTTTGTTATAAGGGTGTCGTTCCAGCGTTATATGAGAACTGAGTACTTACGCTGCTGCTAACTTTCTGTGCAAATATGTGAACAATTTCTAGTCCGGGTTTAATTTTGGACTGTTTACACTGGAGTGAGATAAAACACTCGCATCTTACGAATGCAGACTTGTTATTTGCGGTATCAGATGCTTGTAAGTGCAGTGTGGCACTGATACTCCAAGTAGGGTCAACTGGTTTTAATAAACATTGAGCAAACAAGTTTCTTGTGTGTAAAACGAAAAAACATGGGTATGGGGAGTCCCAGCGGACCGAAATGGGTACGCTGTGACGTGTTTTCTGGAAATTTTAGCAATGCAATTACTGTAATTATATTTTTATTGCAAAATTATCATCTAGGTTTGAATGTACGCATATCAATGTTATCATCGTCAAGTAATTTATTTAAGACCTTTGACCTTTCGAGACATAGTCTACTACAAGTTTGTGTGGGCTCATACGAGTAGGGAAATTCCAAGTGGTAACTTTTTCCGACACAAATAACTTATATAAGAAGACGAAAAAATATAACATGACTTCGATCACTTAATATTCATTTAATTACGTTGCATCACCATTGGCTGATTGGCGAAGGTTCTCGTGGTTTTTCCGTCCATCTTCTGGTGATTGAGTTCAAAGTGTTTGAAAGTCCGCCAATTATTACATGTCGTTTTATCAAAAATGATCTTTGAATGACTTTAACCAATGAAGAAGTTTGCGGTTAATATAGTCGTGTTGTACCAATGGTATACGTTTAAGGTTCCCATATAAGCAAAACCTTGAACTTGTATGTATGTTTGTAATAAACAATATATAATTTTTTAAACATAAATTCTCAGTACCGTTTAATATTCCATGGTTCAGACATCTGTAATAGATTCCTATTAACGACCTTGCACAATAAATCATAATTTCCATGAAACTGCATCACTTTTATATATAGTGGTGTTTAAAAAGTGCACTCATTGTGTATACTAAAATTATGACAAAAAGATCTATTAGGTCTGAATTCATCGAAGTTTTTTAGTATTTATATAGACTGCGTTAATGAGCTAGATACACTCCAACGTTTGTGGACACTTCAAATTTGTCTGTGATTTCCAAATGACGCCAGTCACAACATAATTAATTATTGCCTTATTTCCACAAAACTTCTCATCCTCACTTGCTAATTTCGCATATTTAGGCACAAAATTTGCATAACTACATGAGAGCCACTATAACTATATTATTCAAAATAGCCTTGAAAAATTATTGGTGTGTAGTACTGCGGAATTATCATCTGCGCCTCCTTCCGACCACGGATCGTTTCTTCTTTTTGGGAAATGTCACCCACAACTTGCCAAAAACTCAACGCGAAAGGTGAACGACTCGAAGACAAAACAAATTGGAACTTATTGGTAATGCTGAAGGTATGCCGGCACTTATTATTTGCGACCGCTGTGTCGGATTTGGTGAATCAGAAAGTGCTCAACGATGCATTTATTATAATATTATTATTTTATTCGAGATTATTTCAAATGAGAGGAAGTCGGTTTACGCTTCAGGAAGCTGAGCAAATTCGGCGAGCTGCTTAGGGAACAAAAATTTAGACAAATTATTCATAGGCGAGTAGGTTGTTATTATTTTGGAGCGTTTCTGAAATCGTCAAAATCGGGCCAATCAAGCAGAACTTCCGAAAAATTAGATGTGGATTTTTCAGCTTCCGGTATTTTATTTATTAATAATTTATGTATATGGTTTTATCTGTCACCGAGTTCGCGCGTTTTTCCTGTCGTACAAAAAACCTTGCCGCAATTTCCCTTCATTGAATTTTCTCACAGGTTCAAAGTATTTAACGATTTAATGCCATGAAAACCCAAACTGAGTTAAAAGTGCACTTAGATTCAGTAAAAATACAAAAAATGGCCAACGATTTCATTAATTGTAATTAAAATTAGGTACACGTATTGTTCATTAAGCCAATTATAATAAAGATTACTAATTACGGGCTAATTAGTTTTTAATTTAAATCAGCTTTGATAATATTGTTCGACAACGATGTTGTTTGGTTTTACATGTACATGATGTCCCAACGATTTGGTGACATTTATCGTGCACTAATAAGATTTCTTTGACGCGGTCTAATAACTCATTTAGGAACACAATTAATTTCAAATACACAAGGTTACACACAAAACTTGCGTTTTATCAATGGAACATCCTATATAATTACGGCTTAAGATGACGTGTCGTCTCGCCTTACCGAATGTAACAAGGTTTAAACATATTTATACAAGCTGATTAAATCTGCTATCAATAAAAGTTTACTTTGGGATCAGTTCAAACATATGTATATACAGGTGTCCCGTTTGAAAAATACGAGAAAATAACATAAATCAAATAACGTTTGTGTCTGACATCATGTTCTCCCTCTTTAATAAAGAATCTAAGTCTATAAAAATATACACAGTGTTGCTAAAAAATGCAGACCGTTGGAACACTTAAATATTGATATAAATTGATATTAGTAGCGACTTATCTGTGAAACTTCTAATCAAATATGACTTTGACACACCAGACCAAATAATACGACAATTTACGCTTACTCTGAGGCACAGGATAATAATTGTAGCTGTATTTTTTAGGGTATCTGGTAGTTTCCTTTATTTTTGCATTCATCAAACAGGTATTAAAATATTCAAAAAAATTCCTATTGCAAGCGCGATCTCTTTTTCAAACGATTATTATAAGTAAGACGTAGTTGTGTTCAAAGATCAGAGATTTTCGACCTATTATCATTAACAACTGTTCAATCTCTGTAGTTACGCACAAAATATCAAAACAATTGCATCACTTTCAAGAGATGAAAAAACCCTAGCAGATACGCTTAAAATATACACTTCGGGTGAGCAACAAAATTCGTGATAACAGTTGGCTGTGTTACAGAAATGGGTTAAAAATTTGAATTCAAACGTCAAAACGAACAACTCCACGTGATCACGAATCATGTTGCTCACCCATTCTGTATATATTTATACAGTTTTAATAATCTACTGATTTCATTACCGCCTTTCAAAGAAATTGTATATTATATGTAGAAAATTTAATGCGAGCATTAACCGTACAAGAATTATGCATACTGACCTATTTTGAAAGTATCAAAATGGTTTATATAAATATTTTTAAATGATCGAGAGAAATTATACTTCCAAAATTAGTTTCGAAATTTGAAAATCCATCAAATTAGTTAATTAATTAAGACAGAAGATAGTGATACTTAATTATTCAAAATTAGATTATGAGATGTTTATTTTTAAAATGGAAATGACATGTAATTGAAATAATTACCACCTAGTTGCGCAAAACTTGACGTTTGTATTTCTTGTATTTGTACTGCGTCTTTGTCAATATGTGCAGACACTGAGGTCAAAGAAACATTGTCTAAGATTAATATAAGTAAATTGTCCGGGGATGTACATTTTTGGCCGACTTTGCTTTTTCATTAACACCGATTTACGTGTTTTCTGTGAAGTCTTTAAATAAAAGTCCCACACAAAACTGGCTTCTCAACTTTTTTTAGTTCAATTGTAATCATAAATTGGCGCGATGTTTTTAAAACAAATACTTCTTCTTAACTTAAGTTAACTTATGACTTAACAAATCACCCATTAAACTACCCATCAAACAAAAAAACAAGGAATAACACTCACTTCTAAAACATCTGCACGCCAACTTCTGCTTTCCAACTCATTCACATGAAATCATTGAAATCACATTTCTCGGAAATCAACAATCCTCCATATTGCAATTAATATTGCAATTAGCAATAATAATTAGAAACCACACGAATTAGCTTTCACAACGAAGGCAAAATGTTAGGACTATTTGAAAAATTCACATTTCTTTTGAAAATGCCCGCAAAAACGAAAAATAATTTTGACAGACACTTGTTTAGTCTACGCGATACCACTAACACCATTCACTCTATTGGAAAAATAAAACTGGCGATGATGACATGACTTCGAGTTAGTGACGTCAGAAGCGGGTAAACACGACTCTCTCTCCCCTCCGTTTAGATATCAAACGAAATTGAAGCTCGCAGCGGCGAGCACAGACGCGAAAGAAGCCGAACAGAACAGGATCCAACTTTCACGAAATGCTCATTAAAATTGGAATCAAGTTTTTGCAGGGTTTCGCCATACATTTATTCCGAGAGAAATAAAAAAAGAGGAGTTATAAAACGCGTGTTTAGCGAAATTAATGATAATAAACATTGGAACAGATTTTTTACGGCGATGATGGTTTTATTGATTGGCAGATTTTTGTATTGCTGGTGGCATATATTGCAAAATTGCAAATTAGAATTAATTAAATTTCACTCGTTCTGAGGTGTACAGAAACTTAATTGTGACCTTACTGTGTTCTGAGAACCTTAAGAAAATTATGTAGGCAATTTCAAGTAGTCGATAAAGTAAATCGGCTAAGTGTTAATTTGGTAAAGCAGACTGTGGTTTAAAAAAGATAAAAAATATATTACCGAACCGAAGTATGTCTCATCTTGGGGCGTAACTTCAATTCAGATTTGTTTAAAATGTCTCTGGTTGACGTCATAAAATTTTCTGAGGCCACAAATGTCTCACTTTTAAAATATAACGATAATTATAACGTTTAGTGTTTCTAGAATTTTATGGCAATTAAATGAGATAATCGAAATTTTTTCCATCTAAACAGCATTAAAAGACGTGTTACATGTCACGCTTTCAATTAGATTTACTTACTAATATTTATTACTGATTGAAGCAAATTTTAGTATTGGTAATTCTGAATTATTGGTAGCCATGCTAGAATGTCAGTTAACAGTTGTCAATTTTGATATGAACACGCCTTGAACTGTGCTGATTGGTCGAAACAATGGCAGCTCCTGATTTATTAGTGTCATAAATGTCAATTTTACAATAAATACCGTTGTTCGCAATCGGATATCGTAACCTAATTAATTAAAAACTGAATTATTAATAATACTGTCATCATAATTGCACATTTTTACTCTCAAGAAAGTTAGATTATGATGATATTAGTGATTATTGACGAATCACCATCACAACGAGGCGGCAAAATTCAGAAATATCAAAGCCAACTTGATGCACGATTTTTATAATCGCTCTGTGAATATGCAAATGAAGAACCGATGAACGTGCGTTTTATTTGTGGTTTTTGGTCATATTTATATCTGTGGACGTCAATAGAAATTTAATTAATGAGGAATGCTGGAAACCGTTAGCTTAAATGATATTTTTTATGGTATATGTCAGCGGTCCATATATCAACTTGATATATGATATACGTATACTGTGCATGACATGCATTTACATTTTTAGTCGGTCCTGATCCACTATGGTCATATTCAAATTGGTGTTGGTCCACAGTGTGGATTGGTCTGCTGTGTAGTGAAAACTGAGTGATGTTCTGGTATCTCTGGTTCTTGGAAATATTGTTAGACGTTGTTGATGTGGTAAAGACCGGTTTTTTGCAACACATTTTTCCTTCTTGTAATTTGTGTTAAGTTTTACAATTCTTTTATGATCAAGAACATCATCAGTTTTATTTGGCTAGGTGATAATTTATATAATGGAAATTCCGTATTTTTGGTAGGTACGAAAAAAGTAAAAGAAAAAACGAAATAAATTAAAAAGGTTTATTATACAAAATTAATGTGTGGTCAACATAGTTTGTATAAAACTTTTTTATTTTAGTTTTAATGTCATTCCTCCACGTGTAAAAATTTCCAACATTATTTTATATTATCATGGCACAACGTGGGTTCTCTATTTTTTATTTTCGATTTTTGATTTTCGTTTAAATACTGACAGGGAGTAGGTACATGAAACAACGTCCACAATTAAATTCAAAATTTATTAAAGAAATTTGGAAACTCTAAATTAAACTTAACAATAACATTAACATCTTTAGTGATGGAACAATCTGAGATTCGTGTGCGCTAGACTAATCCCATGCTCGTTGCACGCCTTTATAACCTCCTCATCATTGGTGGATCCCGCTGGACTGCCAATGTACGTCACTCCGCTCTGAAACAGCCTATTACAAACCCCTCCTCCAAATCTCCCCACTACTTACCAATCGCGCCCTATCCACATTATCCCTGAACGGGAAAAAGGCGTCCGATCCCAACGCCACGCCCTTCAATTCATCCAGCCACGCCCTCTTCTCGCTCGCCGTCAACTCCTTCGGTACCTCCTCGTACATCCCCTCGAACACCCCCTTATCCATATCTTTCCCCACCGTTCCATTCACGTAATTATCAATCGCGTTCGAGATTTCCGCCCTCTTCACACCTTTCTTGAACTTCATCCCCAATACCTTGGGGTGCTGTCTCAACCACCAGTTGTCCGCTTTGTCACCAGCCAATCGCGTACAATGGATTCTGGATTGTTGCCCCGCCCCGATTCCTATGACCTGCCCATCTCGGGCGTAGCACACCGAGTTGCTCTGGGTGTACTTCAGCGCTATGGTGGCAACGATCAGATCTCGGACTCCCGATTCGGGGATGGTCTTGTTACGGGTGACCACGTTGGAGAAGAGCGACTTGTCGATGACGGCGTTGTTGCGTTTCTGCTCGAGAGTGAGTCCGAAGAGGACTTTTCTCTCGATGGGGTCGGGTTCGTAGGCCGGGTCGATCTGGAGGACACAGTAGTTGCCGTTTTTCTTCTTTTTTAGGAGATCGAGGGCGGCGGGGGTGTAGCCGGGGGCGATGATCCCGTCGGAGACTTCGCGGGAGATTATTCTGGCGGTGACTTCGTCGCAGGGGTCGGAAAGGGCGACGAAGTCGCCGAAGGAAGACATGCGGTCGGCGCCGCGGGCGCGGGCGTAAGCGGTAGCGAGGGGTGTGAGGGTGGGGACAAGGTCGTCCACCATGCAGACTTTGGCCTGGAGAAACAATATGTGTGTGATAAAAGCCAGGTTTAAAATGTATGTTGCAAGGAGAAAGTGTGACAAACGTTTCTCATCACTATAAATTGTTACGTGTGTTCGAGGTAAATTGCGGTATTGATGGAGTTTTAATAGTGCCACCCAACACGTTTACGTAGATTCCAGTTATTTTTTTAATAATGATATATGAATCACTGGTACATCGTTTGTGCAACCTTGCACCAGTGGTGACTCGTCAGATGGCAACTGAGGCATAGTGGCTACTCAACTAATAAAATTAGATTAATGTAAGAAAAACCTTTTTTATACAAAATGGATTATACCGGGTGTCTGGAAGTATGTTATGTTCGGAAGTTCCAAAAAAATAATAAAAAAATTCTTTATGATGTATAGTCTTTGCCATTTCTATTGAAACACCACTTGTTGGACGTAAATTTGGCAACTTTCATATTTAGACAATTTTCTAACTAAAAGCCGTAGTTAATCAACCGAAAGCTATTACCAATTGCTAAATTTTAAGCAAAATCAACAGGTGGTGTTTCAATAGAAGTGGCAAAGACAATAGATTAAGAAAAAAACGTAATTTATAAAAGTAAAATTGGCAACACTGCACACACCTAATGCGTAAATACCTCCAGCTTACTTTCTGATTTCTTAGTAACGATGGTACTGAACTCCATTTTTTATTTTTTTTTAGGACAATATCCACAACAACCACAAGTCATTAATCGTTGTGCATTATTATTAACAAAACAAACTGTTATTTTTCATTAATAAATAAAGCAAAAAACATCTAATTTGAGCAAATGACATACCCTCTAATAAAAGAGAGGGTGGGTGGGCGGGGCTAGTAGCTCCTAAGATAAGACTGATTTTGGCTAATGAGATATGTACCTTCCAAGAAAAGAGAGGGTGGGTGGGCGGGACTACTACTTGCTAAGAAAAAACTGATTTTGGCAAATGAGATACCCTCTAAGAAAAGAGAGGGTGGGTGGGTGGGGCTAGTACCTGCTAAAATAAAACTGATTTTGGCAAATGAGATACTCTCCAAGAAAAGAGAAGGCGGGTGGGCGGGGCTAGTACCTGTTACGATAAGGTTGATTTTAGTAAATGACGTATCCTCTAAGAAATTTAATTAAATTATTATAAAAAAAGACACTAGAGGCTCCAAAGCAGTTTCACATTCTTTCCACACAAGATTACCTAGAACCTCAAGATTGTTCTAAATTTTCAAAAAAAAGTCCCAAAATTTACTCAAAAACAGGTCATGTCAAAATTTTCCAAAAATATAACACCAAAGTCGCTCAAAAATTTTAAAATAATTTACAAAAAAAATCTCCATATTTTCTTGCAAAAATGTACTATTTTAGCTTCAATTTCGATTTTTCGATATTCGATTTTTCAATGACTTGATTAATCGATATTTCACTTTGAGATTTTCGAACATAGAATTGTCGATTTCTCGAGTTTTCGAGTTATCGACTTTTCGATTTTTCCATATCCTGATTTTTCGTTTTCCGATTTTTCCATTTTTCGGAATTTTCGAATTTTCAAAATTTCAAATTTCCATCTTTTCGGTTATTCAATTCGATTTTGAATTTTTCTTTTATCGATTTTTAGATTTTTTGAATTTCTACTTTTTTGATTTTCATTTCTTCGATTTTTTGAATTTTTATTTTTTCAATTTTCGGCTCCGAATTTCCGTTTTTCCAATTTTTTGAATTTCAATTTTCGGTTTTTTCATTCTTCAAAGTTCAGTTTTTATGATTTTCGATTTTTCAAATATTTCACTTGTCGAATTTTCGATTTTTGGATTTTCGATGAGTCGAATTTTCTATTTTCGAGTTTTCGACCTTTCGATGTTTCAATTTTTGGTTTTGCAATCTTCCTTATTCGAATTTTCGATGTTTTATATACATATTTTTTAAATATTTTCCGTGTTTGATTTTTCGAAATTTCGATTTTCGTGTTTAGAGCCCCACCCATACCCACCCCGAAATCAATTCTGAATTGTGATGACTTTTTCATTCATTGTCAGATGGAGGGGTGGGGCTTAATTGCAAGATCCATATTTATCTACAAGAATTTACGATTTTAAACATGTTTTAAGTTTCTTGTTCTGAAAAGTCGACTGCGTATATTAAGAAAAAAGGCAAAATATAAGCCCCGCCCACCCGCCCTATCTCAATTGTGATGATTTTTTTTAATTGTCGAGAGCCAAAGGAACGGAATTTAACTGCAAAATCCTTACTATTTCTCTATCAGAAATTACCATTTAAAATAACCAAAAATAGAACCCCACCTACACCTGCCCTGATCTAAATAGCCTAATTCCAAAATCCATATTTCCTTACAAAAATTTATCATTTTAAACGTGTTTTACGTTTCTAAGAATAAAAAAAAATCATATAGAATTTTTTATTATATAGATGATATAGTCAAAATTCTTAAAATTCTGGGCCTCGCTAGATTTAAACCCTACGATCCGCCACTGCCTTGCACCTGACCTTTCAAACAATACACAGAGTGATATCAATAAAAAACACGATTACTACCCAATTACATAATATTGTTTCGCAGATAATTATTTTTTAAGCAACGACACGAACATACAATTCATGCGACATGATTGATCAAGAAAAAAAATTATGTCCTGTTTATAGCTCCATATCTGTACAAGTAGTTGTTAATCTTTTAAAAAAATAGTGATTGCCATTTTAAGATACTTTGATGAATTCATCATTATCACTATCAAGTGACCTTGCCCGCTATGACCACCACTATCGTCATCCTCTATCTCAATTTCTCAATCAATGGAGCAATACCTCCATTTTCAGATAATAAACACAAATCACGTGCATTTTACAACAGAATAATAAAAAAATTCCAAACCTGAGTGGCATCCAAAGGCACGCCGACTGCAGCGCCAGCTGGCGACACATGCTTGAAACTCGTCGCAGCAGGCAATCCCAAGGCCGCCTTCAACTCTTTAACCAACTGCCACCCATTCAACGCATCACACAAATTGATAAACCCAGGAGACCCATTTACCACGGTGAGGGGCAACTTGGGCAAAATTGTGAACAACTGGGCTGGTTTTTGATGGGGGTTCATTCCATAGCGCAAAGTTAACTGGGACACGCCGGTTGAATACTGTTTTCTGAAATAGTCAGTGATGGCCAGATCATACTCTGAGGTGTGCGTGAACGCCTTAAGGGCCAAATTTTGCCTGAAATTATAAAACGACGTATTCAACAAGACATTGTTAAATATATTGTCACACACCTAGTTTGCACTGTAGTGTCTTTCTCTGGGGAGTTTTTCATTTCTGTGATGATTTTTTCGTAGTCTGAGGGGTCACACACCACTGTGACTCTGGAGTGGTTTTTGGCTGCAGCCCTCAAGAGCGTGACTCCTCCAATGTCTATGTTTTCCACAGCGTCAGCTATGGTGACGTTAGGTTTGGCAACCGTCTCCACGAAGGGGTACAAATTGCAAACGACCACCCTGATCATGTCGATTTTCTGTTGCGCCAAATCTGCCTGATCTGATGGAATGACTCTATAAAATAACAATTAATAATGACTAGTTTTTTTTTTTTTAATTAGGCAAACCTAGCTAAAATCCCCCCATGGACAGCTGGATGCAACGTCTTCACTCGTCCACCCAAAATCTCGGGGGCCCCGGAAATATCAGAGACATCTTTGACCACAAGTCCGGCATCTCTGAGACTCTTGGCAGTGCCACCGCTCGCCACGAGCGTGAAACCTAATTCTTTGAGGTTTTTGCCAAGGGCTACGAGTCCGGTTTTGTTCGAAACGGACAAAAGGGCTACAATTTCAATTGAATGAGAAATTTTGAGGTTACAGACGCGTGCGAATCTTACCTAAATTGCCACCTGTTGCCATGTCTGGGTGCTTGAAAACGAAAGTGAGACGCCAATGAACGGACAAAGACTATTAAAGTAATAAGAAAATTACTGCTTTTAAGTACTCGGGGGGTCTACTAATGATAAGAAAGGTCACTATGGGTTTATCAACAGAAAAACATGTTTGCTGGGTGTCTTTATCAATCTTAGGTGACGATAAAAGTATCGCAATATCGTTTAATTATGGACTATTTTTTATAATAATGCGTCTACTGTACTTACCAAGAATTATAAAACTACGTTTTGTAGTAAAACGAAAAAAATAAGCCGGCATAAAATAGTTAGCTCGAAGTTGGTAAAGAAGGGTTCTACTTCAATGGTATTTTTCCAACCAATTTATTCAATTAACGAGTGGACGAATTAGGAATTGTCTAAAAATAAAACCATCAAAACTTCCATTAATATATTAAAAGAGTACACATATGCCACTGCAATCTTTTTGTTTTAAAAATATACCAAGTATTTTGGTTTTCAAATAATCACATTCCTTTTTATAAAGCTATTTACACATTAAGACTAAAACAAAAAAGCCGTACTCTAGGTACATACATAGTAGACTGTTTGCTCAGTATCTACAAAAATCTTCGCGCTCTACTTTTTGGCTTCTTCATTAACCTGGCGATGCCACTCCAGGTTTTGCTTTGCGACGCTGTCACCCCGTTGTGCTGCTTGTTTGCCAAAATACACCATAACAACGCAAGCAAGGGCTGTTGCTGCCATCATGTAGTTGGCAATTCGAATTCGCATCCTATTCCTAGCGCGTTCAACCACATTTTGCCTGTAACATCACACACCCAATGTAGTCAATTTCATCGACTATGCAAACGCAATTTGGCTATCTTGTTTACTTGAACAACATCTGACGTGCAATTAACCTCTGATCCATAAATAAACGTACTTACTCCACAAAAGTAGGCACTTCAGCAACTGATTTATATTTTCCAGTCCACACCAAAAATCTTTTTTCTAAATTGTCAACTCTGTGAGATTTGCTGTCCAGTTTTGAACTTTGGTGCCTGGCAGAGGTCACACTTGAAGAATGAGGCCCCAAGAAGCGCTGGGTTTTTATTAATAGACTGTTTAAGATCGAATTCATGCTAAAAAATAAACACATTAATTTTGGACACGAGTGATTTACGTCGACAAACTTTGCAATTTTGTTCGCAATTCACATTAAATTTGAATGATCGTGATTTTTTACTGGAAGTGGTCGATTTTGATCACAAACCGCAAAATTTATCACTTTTTTCGTTCAACCTTGCGCGACAGTTTACAAATGTCAAACTTGCACAAACGTCAAAAGCGGCGCACACTAGACTAGATAACAAATGCAGTTGATGAATAATTATCTAATAATAATAAAAATAATAATTGAAAATAATGGTCCAAATAAACTAAACTGTTATTAAAATATTCAAGAGTTTGACTAATATGCATGCACGTCACGAAAAGAGCGGCGAATAAACTGAAGATAAAATTAGCCGCGAATATTTTATAAGTTGAGTGTTCTGCAACTACGTGCAGTTGGAAACATAATGCAGCAAAATGGGTCACACTATCGTGCCCAGATTCACGTACTCTCCTTCGTTCCGGTTAATGAACTGGCCATTCCCTCAAAGGTCACATCTGTGCTAAATTTGAAATTACCGCGTCTTTCCGCTTTGTGATTGACACATTGATCGCAGGACCGGGCTGACCGCTTTAGTTCCGTCACCTGCCACCTACCGCCACTATCGTACCGGTAAAATTTAAAATTGTCCAATGATAGCTCTTGATTACACACAAAAAGTTTGTGTACATAATCCAAAACCTTTTGAAACCCTCTAACAAAAAATATTTTTAATTGGTGAGTAAAGTGCGCACTAACGTTAAAAATTTATTTACATCTAGTTTACACAGTTAAAATAGCAATAATGGTATCGACAGCTTGAACCGAGTTTAAGAAAACTCTTGGCTTTTTTTTGTAATCTAATCCCCAATCTGGAGTGTCTACGGGCAGGGGTAGATTTTGGCGAACGCGGAAGAAGGAGTCGTTCTGCGTAGCGCTCTTCACCTTCTGCACCATTCGCATCTTCCTGTCCGCCTTGTCCTTAATCAGCCTCATTTTATCGCGAAACTTAGGAGTGTTGGTGATGACGCTCTTGTATTCTTCATTTTTCAGAAAGAAATATAAAAGTGTACACAGTGTCGGAAACAGGGGATTTTCTTTATCACAGAAGTGTAACATCACAGTTACGAGACTTTCCATATATTCAGGGACCCACACATGCGGTCTGGAAGGCTTATATCTGTACACATTGATCAAGACATTGACAGCTGCCGTGCTGAGTTGAGTTTCAAGCACTGATCTGTTGGTGGAATTGATCACGTTGTAGAGAGGCTCTATTAACTTCGACCCGTACGTCCGTAAACTTTGTTGGCACCTTCTTGTAATGTAGTCTGTAACAAACAGTTTTAATGAAATTGTAATTTTAATATAAGAAAAGTACCGAGATCTTGAACCAAAATAGTCATGGTTTCGACACTCATCTTCGTTGTCAGTTGGAAAACGCAAATGACGCATCGAGACCCTAAAGTATTTTCAGGTCTCGCGTTCTCGTTAGCGGTCTTCAACTGTTGGTAGATTTTCAACAACTTCGGTTCTAGACATTGCCGCATTTTGTAGCCTCTCCACGTAGCCTATTTTATTTTAATATTAATAAAAACATTCCATCCAATCAAAAACGAAAAATTACCTGAATCCTTGCAGCCGCCGCATTTTCTTTTCTTCGCTTTTCCAATTCCACTGCGACTTTAACACGCCATTTCCTTTGGATGCAGACAGCGGCTTGTTTTAATTTTTGGAAATTGCTATAATCCACTCTTGTTGCTAACTTCGCGCGGAATTTCCTCTGCACGAGGATCGCGCTTCGTCTTAACGTTTCATAATGTTCGCGTTGGATTCTCGTTAGTTGATTGGCTCTAAATCGTCTCTGTACCACGATCACAAACCGTTTTAATTTCATATAATAGTCGTGTTGTATTTTCTTTAGCTGCAGCGCTCTGAACCTCCTCTGGGTTATCACCGTGCTTTGTCGTAGTCGTAGAAAATATCCCCTTTCTGGTTTCATTAACTGCTTAAGGCGGAACCTCCTCTGCACGCGAACCACACTCTGTTTCAACTGTAGATAATATTCTCGTTCGGTTTTCATCAACTGGTTTGCGCGGAACCTCCTCTGAACCAAAACCACTACCCTTTTTAACTCTAAATACATTCGGTGTTCAATTTTCATGATTTGATTGGCCCGGAATATTCTTTGTATAAGAATCACACGTTGTCGCAACTGAACAAAGTGCCCTTTTTCTAGTTTCATTAGTTGGTTGGCGCGGAACCTTCTCTGAACGAGAACAACGCTTTGTCGTAGTTGTAGATAATTTTGTTGTTGAAATTTCATCAACTGATGGCTGCGGAATCGTTTCTGGATTAAAACCACGCTAAATCTGAATTGTGAGTATTGTTGGCGTTGTATTTTCATAAGTCGGTTGGCTTGGAACCTCCTCTGAACAAGAACGACGCTTTGTCGTAATTGTACAAAATATTGTCTGTTGGTTTTCATGGATAGGTAGGCGCGGAACCTTCTCTGGATAACAACGACACTTTGTTTTAATTGCAGAAATTGTTCTCGTGTTGATTTCATTAAGTAGTTGGCTCGGAACCTTCTCTGAACGAGAATCGCGTTCTGTTTTAGTCGTAGGAAATATTCTTTCGCTGATTTCATTAACCGGTTGGCGCGGAACCTCCTCTGAATAATAATGACGCTTCGGGTTAACTGCAGGTAATATTGTCGTTCGATTTTCATAGCCTGGTTGGCGCGGAACCTCCTCTGGACAATAAGCACACTTTTCTGTAACTGCAGAAGATTTTCTCTAGCTAGTTTCATCAGTTGGTTGGCACGGAACCTCCTCTGAACGACAATCACACTTCGTTTCAACTGTAGAAAATATTCTCTTTCTAGTTTCATTAGTCGGTTGGCCCGGAACCTCTTTTGAACGATGCAGACGCTTTTGTTCAATTGTAGGTAATATTGTCGTTCGGTTTTCATCAACTGGCTGGCACGGAACCTTCTCTGAATAACAACTGTGCTTTGTTTTAATTGTAGAAAATATTCTTTTTCTGATTTCATTAATTGGTTGGCGCGGAACCTCCTCTGACTAATAATGGCACTGTGGGTTAACTGCAGGTAATATTGTCGTTCGATTTTCATAGCCTGGTTGGCGCGGAACCTCCTCTGAACAATAATCACACTTTTCTTTAATTGCAGAAAATATTCTTTCGCTACTTTTGTCAAGTGATTGGCACGGAACCTCCTCTGCATTAAAATCGCGCATCGTTTGAACTGAAGAAAATATTCTCTTTCGTATTTCATTAATTGGTTGGCTCGGAACCTCGTCTGAATAATAGTCACGCTTCTGATTAATTGTAGATAATATTGTCGTTCAATTTTCACCAACTGGTTGGCGCGGAATTTTCTCTGAATGAAAACAGTGTACTTTTTCAACTGTAGAAAATATTCTCTCGTTGTTTGCATTAAGCGATAGGCGCGAATCGTGCGCTGGATGACAATAACACTCCGTTTTAATCGCAGAAAATATTCTCTGTGTGTTTTAGTTAGTTGATTGGCGCGGAACCTTCTCTGCACGATAGTCGCGCTTCGTTTTAATTGAAGAAAATACGTTTTCTCCATTTTCATTAATTTGTAGGCACGGAACCACCTCTGGACCACAGTTACACTTTCTTTGGTTTGCAGATAATATTCTCTTTCTAATTTCATTAGTTGTTTAGCGCGGAACCTCTGCTGAACCACAATCACACTCTGCTTTAGTTGCAGAAAATATTCTCTTTGTGTTTTCATTAATTGGGTGGCGCGGAACCTTGTCTGGATACCAATCACGGTTTGTTTCAACTGCAGAAAATATTCCTTTTCTGTTTTCATTAAATGACTGGCCCGGAACCACCTCTGGATAATAATTGCACTTGATTTCAACTGTAGAAAATATTCTCTCTCCTTTTTCGTAAGTTGGTTCGCGCGGAACCTCCTCTGAACCATAGTCGCGCTTCGTCGTAATTGTGCATACCGTTTTCGTTCGATTTGCATCAACTGATTAGAAATGAACCTCTTCTGAATCACAATGGTTGCATATTTTAATTGTAGATAATTTTCACGTTGCATTTTCATTAATCGATTAGCTCGGAACCTTGTCTGGATAATAACCGCACTGTGTTTCAATTGTAGAAAATATTCCCTCTCTGTTTTCATAAGTTGGTTCGCTCGGAACCTCATCTGAACGAGAATTACGCTGTACCTCAACACTTGATAATATTCTCGTTGGAGTTTCATTTCTCTATACGACCTGAACGTTCTCTGGATAACCAACGTCGCCCACTTCAACGTTTCGTATTTCATTCTAACCACCATCATTAGTTTCCTCGCAACATATCTTTCTTCCACTATCGCAACTGCGCGTTTCAACTTATCAAACCTTTTCTGGGCCAGAAATCTTCTAACCCAGCTCTGGATTTTCGTTGCTGCTTCTTCACGTTTCTTCATCATTTTCTTGATGTGCCAGCCCGTCTTCCGTCGGTACCACAGTTGTATTTTCGTGGCCGCTTCTTCCCGTTCGGTCCTGATCTTCCTTAATTCTTCCCGTTTGAGAAGAATTGCTTCGCTGCGCCACCACCGGGTTATCGTTGTGACGCTTCTGGCCATTAACGGAGTTTGTAATTTGTAGATGATTTGCCACAAGAAACACAAAGTTTTTTCTTTGTGTCCATTCACTATGTCTTTGGGTACTATATCGTACTTTAGCTCGAAGTCGTTCTTTAGTAGTACTTCGAATGCGATTTTCACGTTGTGGACTTTCTGCAAGCGGGAAATCGCCGGGACGCGCAAGTTTTTGCTTAGTGTGTTATCGAGGTAGATTTTCTCCATGACGCGGGTTAAGCGGACTCCGTCGCGTAAATCCGTACCGAGTACTTTAACCGTGTAGTCGAATTCATCTAGATAGGTCTGTTTGTGGGACAAGATGTACCCGAAGTGTTTCAGAAATTTGGTGATATCACCCATAGACGCTACAGTATCTCTTGCGAAAGAGATAAGAGCGTCTCGACTCTCTTTTATAGGGGCGTTCTTACAAAAGAGACACGGATCATGCGATATCAGTTTGTTCTTTTTAGAAACATCTAGAAAGTAGATCAGCGCTAGAATTCGCTTGAGGATGGCTTTTTTAATACCCACTTTATAGTTATTTGTATGTATCGACTTATGCTTCTTGAGAAGGAACGGATCTCTGATTAGCTTCTCCCAAATGAACGTCGTCAAACCTAAGAGATCTGAGTTCGATTTAAGCGGGATCATTCTACCGTAGATGCTCTCCAACCCAACGCGCAACCACAGTGGGTTGTAACTCAAAAGTACCCTCATTATATCAGACTGAAGGGCTAGATCCAAGTGGATGTCTCTGTCGCTTCTGATCATCAACCGGTTATCGTCTACGGCTTTCCACACCTTTTCTAAAACACTCTGGACTTCGGTAGATTTGTACAAGCGTAAAGCGTTTCTGCGCACGCTTTTTAAATTCGCACTGCTTGTGTCTACGCTAACAGTGCTGACATTGTCTTGTTTCTTCTGGCATTCTCGCCACAGCTTCACCACGTCCATCGTGTGCCCTTCATCGTTGGATTCCAAGCCCTTTGGAGGTGCCAAAATGGCGTTCAACCATCGTTTGAGGTTGTCTTGTTGCCTGTCCAAAAATTCACCCATTTGTGGGTCAATTATGGCAGCTGTGTGTGCCTCAGTCCATTCTGGACGAAGTGGTTCTTCTAGTTTTAGACGCTTAGGTGACACGGTGAAAGTCATGTTGGTTTTGTGTTTCAGAGGAAGGGTTCTAGATATACTTTTTTCTTCGATGGTGGATAGCGATGGTACTTCTTTAATGGTAGACAAGGGGAGGGCTGTATTTGTCCATAGACCTGCATGGATGGTGTCACGTACCGAAAACCCAGCTAAACTGTCCAAGCGGGCTTTTTTGCTGCTTGTGGGTGTAGGACAGTTGTCGGTGTCGTGATCTGAGACTTCTAGAGTGAACGTATTCGAACTAAGATCTTTTGTGTACGTTTCAGAAGAGATATTTACGTCTCTAGCGTCCTTGGTGTATGTTTCTGTGGAAACGTTCGCTTCTTTAGAGTACGTTTCTGACGATATATTTATTTCTTGGACGTCTTTACTAAACGTAACGGAAGATATATTGATATCTCTAAGATCTTTAGCGAACGTGTCTGGAGAGAAAGTTACATTTCTGACAGTCTTGGTCTGCATTATAGGAGATGAATTCCTGTGTTTAACACCTCTGTTTCTTATATCTCTATATACCGCTGGAGAGATGTATATATCTTTAATATTTCTGGTGTATGTTATAGGAGATATACCAAAATCTCCGCTATTTTCAAGCGGCAAATCATTTTCTGTCGTTTCGTCAGGGAATAACTGAAAACTTTTCCCACTAAAATGCACTCTACTAACAGACTTTTCCTCGCTGGAACAATGTTCCGGTCGGAAGGCAGCCACAGGAGTAAGCACGGAAAATTCCGAACAATGCACTTGTAATTTTCTTTCAAACGAGACATCAGCGACCCTTTCCAGACTATCTTCGGTCAACGGAAGATTTGTTCCCACGATGAACGTTTCTCTCCGTAAGAACGCGTTTTCCTTGCCGGCGTACAGGCCGTCGGCTGGTATTAGTCTAAGTTCGGGAATGTTCGTAATATTGGGCAGAACCGGTCTCTTCTGTGGGGATTTTCGTTTCATGAGGTTGATGGGTGATGTGGTTTTCTTTGTAGCGAAACGGGGGAAGGTTCTGCTTTTTGGGTTTTTCTGTACGGGGATTGTTAGTAAAAATCGGTAGGGGGTTGAGGTACTTACTTTTTTGGCGGAAGTTGCCGACTTTAAGAGCACTGGGATGTCGCAGGATATGCGGCTGCCGGCGGTGATGTGGAGGAGGTAGCGCCACGCTCCTGCCTCCGTGGGGGTCCAGTGGAGGACGAGGGTTTGTTCTTCGCCCTCTTGGAGGGATTTTGATGACCACTGTAGTTGGAGGTTGGTTTTGTCGTCGACATTTAGGTGCGCAGTTACCTAGTCAAACAGATTAACTGCTATTTTAATTTTTGTAAATTTGCTGAAAATCCATACTTTTTTTTATTTATTTTTGAAAATTTAGGATGAGATTCTTTGAAACTTAGTTTAGCTTAAAAAGGAAGCCAAAAAAATGCATGTCCCAAATTGGTTAATGGATACTCGCGAGGGATTTATTCAATTGAGTCCAGTTTACACTACTAAATTTATTCAAAATGTTTCAAGACGTGTTCTACTTTGTTTTGGCCGCCACTGTACACATGTTATATTTACTAAAAAAATACCCTGAATGCTAACAAGTTTTAAGACTTTAACAGTCATAACTTTATTAAAAAAAAAAAGTATGGTAATATTAAAAATTCTAAAATTTAACAAAATAAATGGAAAAGTATTCCACCTGAATTAAATAGGGCACAAAATAAATGTATTTTTTAAGTCGGTCGTTTACATTAACAACCCCCAATAAAAAAAGAACACTTACTTCAAGTTTGTGGTTTGTGGGGTTTTTAATAATTAAAGTCTCAACAGCAGCCTGTCCAACTTTTACATTTTCAAAACAGATTTTCGGATTTTTCGAAAACGGGGCCAATGTCAACACGTTGGGTTCCACTTCGGCCTTTTTTGCGACAGTTTTTTTCTCAGGTTGTCTGAGAGGGGGCGAAAACTAAAACACCACGGTATGATTACTAAAAACAACGAAACAAATCTTATACTCACTTGAAAAAACATCTTAGATGTACACTTAAAACTATATAACAAGATTTAAAACACTATTAACTGAAAACAAGCAAACGGTTTAAAATTTAAAAGTAAACCCCAACCATCATCTGTCTCGGAATAAGCTCAAACCGCTAACTGTCATTTTTGAACAAAACGGTTACGACGGTGGCCAATAGGAAACGAGTTCGTTGATTTTTGTCTAGCGTGTGTGACAGGTGCTCTGTCCCTCTCGGGCATTTTATTTTGTCTAATAAAGGCGACGTTGCACGACTTGCATCAGCGTAACCGCGATAAAAATCAGAAATTTTATTAGCTACTAGACGTACGGCACTTCGTCATTTCCTGAAACGATGTTCTGCAATTCGTTTACGCATGTAAACCACCACAGAAGCATTATTATAAGACGCATAATTGTCAAAAATGAGAATAGATCGTGTGATAGCACCTTAAGCTACAACTTTAATCGTGACAGTTCGTTCAATCAGACACCAATTACAGTGGAAGATTGCTCCACGTGACTAAAATCTTAACAATAATTGGTCCCTTGATTGTTTGCGCCGGGGCGTCGGCCATCTTGCTATTCTTGCACAACGTTGTACTTCGAGTAGAACTTGTTTTTGATTAAATAGTATTTGCGTCGCAGTTTTAGGTAAAAATTCAGAAAAAAGTGTTGTACACCGTTCCAATTACGCAAACAACAAGCTAGAATATACGAAGTTCGCAAAAAACAACAGTTTCGTCAAAATGGTGTCAAACCCCAAGCGTGTGCGCTACGTTTCAGAAAATTTTTCCTCGTCGGAGGGCGAAGGCTTCGACGAAGACGACTACCGACCCGACAAGAGAGTGAGTACCGGGCTTGTTAAAAAAATTCTCGAAGTAACTGGGAATTTACAGAGCGATCGCCATCCCAAAGGCAAAGGCAAGTGGCTATCGAAAAACGCGATAATGGCACGCGAAAACCGATTGAAAAAGAAAATTTACATCACGAACCTAGAGAAAGAAGTGGATGAATTGAAAACGAAAAACACAGACTATTTAAAAGTTGTAGAAAGCCAGTCATTGCTAATCTCTGATTTAAAAAAAGAAATTAAGTACTTGAAAAGTGTGATCGCGAACAGTACTGATATCGGCACGTTAGTCAAAAATATCCATCAAAATACAGGTATGTCGGTAACAACATCCTTGGATCAGAGTTTATCACGTTATGTTTCAAAGCCAAAACAACCTATAGCTAGAAAAACAGCGCATCCGTGGGAGGAGAAAACGTATCCTAGTTATCCTACTCCAGAGCCTGATCTGGCGCTGAATGATAGTTTCACTGATGACTTATTGAATTCAGAACTGAATGAGTTTTTAGGGGACAGTTTTGTAAGTCCCGTTGATTTAGAAGAAGGTGTATGTGATAATCATTTGAAAGAACACAATTATACGAGCGTCCATGACGACGACGGCGACGACAGTGATGTTGGGGTGTGTCTTCACGTTTCCAAACACCGCGTATCTCTGGAGTTTTGTTCAACGTGCAGCGACAACGCTACCTTGGCGTGGAATAACTGAAAGCAAAATGTCTGTATTTTTAAGTATTTTTGTTATGTATGAAACTCTTTCCTTGCACTTAGGGCAATGTTGTTAGTTAGATATCGAAACTAAGAAAATTAGAATACTATTGCTTTTTTAAATTTTCAGGACCTGGTGAGAATTGGGGCCTAGGTTCAGAAGGACTTGCAGTCTACCTTCTGAAATGATTTAAAAGGTGCGGTAGTCTCCAATTTTGGTACAACCCAATTTCTGAGTGTGAATAGTCAGAACTTGGGTTATTTTTGTTGATTCTTGTTGAATTGTTATTTTCATGTATTGCTCTGATTTCAGTACTGTGCAGTCAAGTCATCATCAGCAATGACTGGATTGAGTAGAGTATAAATGTATCGTTCCATGTTAAATATCAATTTCGTTTTAGAAATCGCATATTTCCATGTTTTTTGCACTTATACTAAACAAGTATGTTTTTGAGTTTCAGCACGTAGCAGAAGCAACGGGGCGACATTTTTGGGCTACATAACCCATATTTTTATATTTAATTTTTAGTTAGGTAGGTGTGTAAGGAAAGGGTCAATAAAATTTTGTATTTATGTTAATGAGTGTTTTCTTCGCCCTAAACTAGCGACTTCATTAACACTAAGTAAATAAACAAGTTGTTGCTATGTGTCATACATCATACGCCCAAGCAATCCAAATCTTGGCCCCAAGCCAATACGAACCCAGCGCTGGTAGTAAAAGTAAAAATGGTCATTCATACAGTGAGTTCCGCAGTGGACGGTCGATTTTAAATTTGACGGGCTTCTGGTGCGCGCGCAATGGATCAAGGACCAGTTTCGTGTCTTCCAAACACTAGTAAAATGTCTAAAGCGAAAAAAGTTCTCGATGAAGCTCGGGAAATTCGAAATCCCGAACTCGATTTAGTGGATAAAGGCATTTCTTCGTTTGAAGAGACGCCAGGTTTACGTAAGTGGATTCTTGCTTTACAAGGCTTTTGCCTAATTTGGTATCTTGTTCGACTGGAAAGTGGGCGTGGCCCCAATAAGCCATGTGGGCTTTAATTGAGAGTAATCACGATCATAACAATAATGGGCTTAGGTAACAATAAATGGAACTGTTATTAGTTTATTAGGGAGGGAGATGGGGCTAGAGGTGGGGTTGGCAGGGATGCTGGAGTCTGTGGCAGCAGTAGGTTGTATATGTTTTTTGAAACGGTTGTCATAATATAGGGACTCAAAATGCGTATCACAATGCATAGATTGCTTAAGTATTCGAATCATTCAACGTAGGAAGAAATTTAAAGCTTAAATATAACAAGTGATAAGATATTTTAATTAAGGTTAACTTTGGCTAATTCAACTAATTATAAAGAACTATGGTCATATATTAAGAAAATTTATGTTAGACTCACCCTTCTTTTTATCAGACTTCCTTCACTTCTCTTTAATTATTCATTACATTAAAAACATTACGTTAAACAAGCGTTGTCTGAGTCTGTGAATTTTATGTTAAGATTTATATTATTTTATTATTAATATTTATATAATATTTCACATCATCTTTTTTAATTCACCCTCATTTTTTAGAAAGTCTTATACAGAATGTCAAAAATGTAATGATTCATTTTACTGATGAAAACACATTAATACACATTATTGACTGATGACGTCACCATAAAATTTTAATAAGCAAACTTATTTGAGTTATATCTAACTGAATTTTGATCCATTAATGATTTTCCCTTGCAGTTAATATGACCTACATAACCCGACTTACGTTAAGTCACAACAAAATCAAGTGTAAGTCTACCACTTTCACAAAACAGGCCCGTAATAGCAATTTTTAGCGGTTCCACCCTCCCTCGCAAATTTGATAAACCTAGAAATGCTGAACTTGGCCAATAACCACGTGGAAGAATTACCACTGTCATTATCGTCGATGCCAAAGCTTCGCATTCTCAATTTATCCATAAACCGCCTGTACAACCTTCCTCGAGGATTTGGTGCTTTTCCAATGATTGAAGTTCTCGATCTTTCCTACAACAACCTGAACGAGAAATCTTTGCCGGGAAATTTTTTCATGATGGGTAATAAATTATGAGACGCTGGTAATTTTTTTAATGGTGTATGTTTGAATAGAAACACTTCGAGCGCTGTACTTGTCGGACAACGACTTTGAACATTTGCCGCCTGATGTCAAGAATCTCAAAAACCTTCAAATTGTGAGTAGTATTAATTTGGCAGTCACACCTGACTTAAGTCGTTGTCTTTAGCTAGTTTTGCGGGAAAACGACCTTATTGACCTTCCTATCGAAGTGGGGGAGTTAACCAGGCTGCGTGAACTGCACGTCCAGGGCAATCGCCTCACCATTCTCCCACCAGAAGTGGGCAATCTGGACATGACCTCAAACAAGTCAGTCTTCAGGTTTGAGGGCAACGAATGGGTGCCTCCCATTGCTGACCAACTCCAACTAGGTGTGGGGCATCTGATGGAATATTTACGCACAGAAACTTACAGAATGTGAGTAAAAGCCACCTTTTGATACCATTTAAAGTGGAATTATTTCAGATTATATAACCGATATTTGACAAACAAACCCCCCGTACCACCCCCTTGTGTAGACAAAGCAAAAAAGATTTCAAGAATTCGCTAAGTCTACTTAGAATTGTATTTAAGTAATCTCATGACAAGTCATTACTGTCAACTGCCATTTTTAATTTATCTTATTAGTTATGTAACGTGTGGCCTTAGATAAACGCTTTCTATGAAAATAAGTTTGTATTTTACAATTTTTACAATCCAATGTAATTTTAATAACTCAATAAATAGTCAGTCTTTAAAACTACCTCACTGTTCTTCGTCCGTATATTCGCTTTCGTCATCTGTCAAGTCCGTCGTGTGTATCGATGTTTCATACTCCAGAATTTCCTCGTCGCTCAGATGTGAATTTCCTTCGATAAATGACGCAAAGCTGCAACAGTTAGAAACGCGGAATATTAACTTTTTTATTTGAAATTAAAGTCCTAACCTATAAATTTTACATTGACATTCCAGCTAACCCACCACAAGTGGCGCCCCCGCTTACCGTTTCACATCTTTCAGTTTGAGCGCGAGTTGCCACTGTTTGCAGTCCGGACTCGAACAATACTGTCGCAACTCGCCCAGGGCTTTGGACGTTTCCCGCACCCCCTGCTCGTAGTACTCATCGTTCGTTAAGGGTTTCACTTTCGGCGGAAATTTTTTTTTCCTGAAAATGTTCGTTCTTCATCAGTGAATCGAATCGAATTCCAACTTACGCAATCGGCAATGGACACAAGAAATTTTGAAATTTCCGAAAAAAGAAATATTCTTACCAGTACTTCTTCGTGCGTGTGAGCCAAGATGGTGGGATGTTGTGGAACAGCAGGAGGGCGACGATCTGGCCCATGGCGGCTTCCTGGAACTGGGTACTGAAAAAGATGGCCGCTAGCCCCACGGATTGGAGCGACCAGCGAATTAAGTTGCGGCTGCGCTCGTTTTCCACGGGCCCCCATCTATAGCAGACTACGAAGAGAATGTTTTCTGAAGGAGGGGGTTTCAGGACTTACTTATGAAACTTATGAGGCCGGTTATGACCGTGTACCATACTAAATAGGTCTTGTAGTTGAGGAGGATTACGCGGATGTTGTCCCAAAGGAGTTGGAGGAGGTAAATACCGACAGTCCAGCCACAGGCGGCTACGCCATACATCATGGGTTTCTAACAATTTTAACAAATTTATAGTACAAAGGTACTTGCATTGATCACAATGCACTCACCTTTGGGAAAAGTTTGCTTGCAAAGTATATCAATATTAAAAACGACGTACAAATTCCTAAAGTTATCCCGCAAATATAATAAAATAGAGTATTTTGGCTCAACCTATTCGCAGAAAGAAACAAAGAAATCCCAAACAATAACAAAAGTACCTTCCAATAATCAATCCCTGAAAGCAATGTTTCAAAATCTGGCCAATCACCGCTGCACCAATATCCTTACTGATGACATGTAGCGTCACATTATAGTTAGTTTTGCTATCAATTCCAACACAGCTCCTGTTAAATGGGTCCAACCTTGTTTGTTTTTGTTTCGAGGAAAATATATTCAAGTTCCAACTAAACCGTTTTTCGTTATATTCCTCCTGCACAGCCTCTGGTGAGTTACCCTCATACTTTGTGTAGTCGTCATTGCGGTGTTCTAGATGAAGCTAAACAAGAAATGGTGAAAACTTTCAACGTACGACAGTTTACCACAACGCTCTGCCAAATGTGAATTAAGTACTTGGGTTTGCCTTCATAGCAGTAAATTTGGAAACTCGGCGCGCCTGACTGTGCCCAATATGTATGCTTCTGGCCTTGTTCTAAATAACGAACTAAAAATTGGAGTGAGTAAAAAACATAACCTAAAAAATGAATTTACCCTCGGTTGATTTACACACAAGGAATAGTTCTAAGAATAAGAAAATGATAATGAACGAAACGTATGAACTCATTTTTACGTATTAATTTAACGCAGCTAAAAGTTTTTTTTTTATTTTCGTATTTTAACACCGTTCCGTTACATTTTTTATGACGTTTGGCGGTAAAACAACCCGACAAAACGAAATCACTAGTAAAAAGAGACAAAGCGACCGGTTTAATGTGTGGAAGAAAGATGCCACTTCAGTTAGCAATCTCAATAAATCCCTAACCCGACACAATTAATGCCGCGTCCACTTTAAAATTTAAAAAAGTGTGGTTATGTAGTGAGTGGTCGTTGCATTTTTTTTTGTGATAAATGTTTTTGTGTGAAGAAATTAATGAGTGAATTCATCGTGATACAAGGTAGACTGAGAATTTATCTTTCCTCGATTAACGATTTTTCGTTTCAGTTGGCCAATGCGGTAACCAAATTGGAAGTTGTTTTTTGCCAGAAATCCTCCAAGAATACGATGTTAAACTATCCCACGACCCCCCAAGTAAGTGCAGCAAGCGCGATAAAACCGATTTACAACAATACATGTACAGTTTTTTCAACTTTGGCACGAAAGCGGCAACTTTTGATACGTTAAGCGACCTCCTTCGTAGCAATGCCAAAGCTAGGGTAAGCACTAACAAAAAGCAACCCCTTAAACTCCCCGTTAGTTTTTATGTATCGATATGGAGGACAGCGTCGTGGCTCGATTCAGAGCCGGCAAGTTTCGGGACTTGTATGACAAAAAATGCCTCATTACTAACTACCCGGGCTCTGGGAACAACTGGGCGGAGGGTTATTGCAGCCACGGCCCCAAATACAAACAAAAAATACTCAACGCGGTGCAGTACGTCGTCGAACAGTGTGATAACTTGAATGGGTTTTTGTTGTTGTTTTCAATGGGAGGTGGTACTGGGTCTGGTTTAGGTACCTTCATTGTAAAACTGCTAGCAGATCACTATCCATCCGTTGAAAGGTAGTACCACATAGTATTTTCGTTTTTCATTGTGGGTTAGGTTTATAGTTTGTGTTTATCCCACTGGTACTGAAGACGTTATTACGGCCCCATACAACATGGCGTTCGCCACCCAGGAGCTCGTAAATAGCGCCACGTGTGTCTTCCCCGTTGAAAACAAGGCATTGTTGGACATCGTCTTTCGGCAAACTAGTCGCTACTGTGATAGAGTGAGTCCGTTTGGGCCGTTCGAAGATGTGAATAAAATTATCGTTGATATGGTTCTGCATTTGACGAGTGGGTCAAGGTTTGGGGGAAAGATGAACATTGACATGAACGATATCAACACGAATATGGTGCCTTTCCCAAAATTGAATTTTCTGTTGAGTGGATTTAGTCCCTTTGTTTTGAAATATGTCACTAGGTGAGGGGTTTTTCGCATTGGCGATAATTTAAATTTGGGTTTTAGTAAACACTTGAAAAATGAGTTGTCTTTGATGGCGTCCAGTCGCAGTTGTCAGTTGGTGAAAGCAGACCCTTTAGGTGGGTTTGTACAGATGATCTTATTATGTGATGGTTTGTAAAGATTCTAGGAGTACGTCAATGGGGGTTACGTTGTTAGGGCGAGGAAAATTTTCCGTTAACGATATGAGGAACTACGTGGATAAATTAAAAACTAGGTTGCGGTTTGCGCCTTGGTCTAGCAAAGCTGTGAAAGTTGGATTATGTGACGTGCCCCCAAAGGGGTTAGATTTTTCAGTGTTTTCGCTAAGTAATAGCACGTCGGTGTTAAATTTATTTGATGAAGTACTCAGTCAGTTCATGAAACTGTACAAAAGAAAAGTAGTTTTTACGTTATGAGGTTTCTCGCAGTTATTGTTTGTGTTTTAGGCACACGTGCACCACTACACAGCCGTTTCTGAGTTTGATATTCAAAATTTTAAACAGTGTCAGAATGATCTTAACGATTTTATCCAACTGTATCGAGACGTTGAGAAAATCAAACCTTTTACATTCAACAAGAGGTGAAATGTTAATACTTTATTAATAAAATATAAAAGCACAATTGAAAAAAATATACATGTAATCACGTTTATAATGAAATAAAATCAACTTGTGAACATTTGTCTATTTCTATAATCTAGAACGCAGTTTTATTTTTAGGAAAAAATCACGTTTGTTTCCTATAATACTTAAAAATCCGTGCAAATTTAACATTATATTTTCTCAATAACTAACAAACTTAAGACAATAAAACAGCGTTCCACTTTATCGTGATTTAGAATTTTTTAAAGTGCCACCAGATTTATTGTATTGTTCCTATCCATACTCTAACTGCATTAAAATACATATTTACAACAGCAAAAGGCTTACATGTGGCTTGAAGGCATCACTTTTAGTTAGTATGACTGGGAATTTGAGGCAATCCGAACTCATCTACAGGAATTCCATCCTAGAACACCCTCATTACTAAAACCCCATCAACCTGCACAACTCACCTTATTCTTCTCTGTTTCTTTCTCTGGTTTGTTGTTCGGTGCCTCTGGAGCCTTGAGCACATCATCCAAATAACTTGTATCATCATCAAGTGCTATTTCATCACCCAAAGCGTCCAATTCAGCCGCCAGATCATCCTCATCAATCTCAGGAGTGTTATAATTCCTACCTAGTGCCTCCTGCACCTCGTCAGCTTGCTCCATCAAGTCAGCCAACTCATCCTGCACATCATCAATATCATCTATATTAATCTTCTTAAACTCCTTCTTCATCTGCTTCATTCCATCCTTCATCGCCACGACCGTAGTGTGCGTGTCTTTCAGCGCCTGATGAGCGTAATTCGCCTGCTCCATATTAAATGACTGCCCCCGTAAATTGTCGAGTTGTTGTTCATACATTTTCTTCTGTTTGAGGATTCGCATGGCTTTCGCTTTGACCGCGTTTTTACCAGGGCCTTCGCGCATTTTCGACATTTGGTCTCTGAATTTCCGGAGGTCATTTTCCAGGGCTTGTATTTTTTTCTCGACGCCTTCGGCCCGCTGATCCACCTGAAAGTTTGAGGGTGATTTGGGAATACTGACTTGGGGGACTTACTCCGGCGATGCAGTCCGTTATACTGGGGCCCGGTTCTTTGGGCTTGCCTCTGCCGAAGAGTCTATTCATGTCTGGGGGCTCTGTTTAGATACTAAGGTATGAATCACACAGAATATTCAATTGTGTGAAATTAGAAATTGCGTTTGATAGGTGTCAAGACTGTCAAGCGTCAAATGTCAGGTTTGAGAGCTGTCAGTGGAGGGTGTAGGCCGTGGAGTGAAACGGAGGTTTGTCGGCCAATTGCAAGGGTCCGGTGGGTCACGTGGCGGAGTGGTTAGTGCTATTGGTGGGTAGTGCGGATTCGTTCATAGGTCGCAGAATGTGAATCTGTGAATCGAATTTTGATTTACAAGATGTCTTTTAATGTTTATCCGTGTTATCCTGTAATAGAAAGTTATTAATCATTGAATTTGTACTGATATGAATAATTGAGCTTTTACTACTACTATGTGACTACTTATAGTTAATTAATAAGTAAATGTGCGATTAATCCTGGAATCTGAGCATTTGACTGGTTAGATTTGACCACGTGATGGATTAATTGTGATTACGTGATCGACTTTAACAAATCCAGTGCTCAAATTCCCAGGTTAATCGTAGGTTAAATTGTGAGTCGAATTAAATGTTGAATGTACCATTATAAATTGACCTTTAAAAAAGTTTTAGTGACGCGATTAATTTTAATAACGTATGTTCAAATGAAAAAGGGATCCTTTCTTTGGTCAATATTTTTCATTTGATATTTACGTTTATAGCAGTGATATTCGTTTTTAGAATGAAACATGATAAGGGAAGGGTCAGTGGAAAATTATTATTATTATTATGTGTATAATAATTATATTTTTTTTGAACTAAGAAACTAAAAATTGTTCTTGAAAATAAAAGATTAATTCCCGATGAGAAAAATTTGCGGATTTGTGTTGCAATTATTATATTTTTGTCCTTTTTATTTGTTTTTGTTTATTTTGTTATTCATTCTGCATTGTAGTTGTCAAGCAATCAGAACCATATCCGTGTAATTATCTACACAATACAGTAATGATAAATATTATGACACAGTTATCATATTTTGAATAAATAGGGTTATCTTTTGTTTTCAACGATTTATTTGTGTATTTAAAAAATAAATTTAGAAGAATACCAGGGACGGTTTTGACTTTTTTACTCCCCGGGCGTAGGCTAAGGAAAAAAAGTAGTTTCCCGTTTCAGTCTGTCTGTCTGTTTGTATCCATTTTTATTAGACACATATTTCCGAAACTGCTGGACCGATTGTTGTCACATTTTGTATGTATGTTAGAAATATCATGTAGATGGTTAAATGTTAGCCAAAATTTGGCTAATCATCCCCACCAACAATTTGATGACGTCATCTCAATGAACCGTATTTTAAAATGACTTGAATGTTATACAGAAATATACTGCCACACTTGGAGTAAACGAATCCGATTTCAGTTTTTTCGTTTAACGTTTACATTTTCACAAAAACAATTGCACGGTATAATAACGGTCTTTGTTTTTTTTTTTTTTAATATATGTACATATAGAGTTTTCTTTAAAAAATCAGGATAGTTAAAGATATTTTCAGTTTCTTGTTGGGAAAAGAAGACTTCATATAGTAAGAAAAAAATGGACAAAATATAAGCACCGCCCACCCACCCCTTCTCAATTGTGATGAATGCTTTATTCATCGTGAGCTGAGGGGCGGAGTTTAGTTTGCAAAATCCTCATTTCTTTACAAGAAATTACCATATGAAATATGTTTTTGGAAGGGTAGAATTTTCTAGAGAAATATTGAAATATTGTTGTTACAATTAAACTCCGCCCCTCGTCTTATTAGGAATGAAAAACTTATCACAATTGAGATCGGGGCGGGTGGGTGGGGCTTAATCTTTGTTATTTTTTCTTTATATACGTACTTTTCTGTCAATAATTTTTTTGTGCAAAAATAAGAGATATTATAATAAAAAACATAAAATCAATTTATTATTCAATAATTTTGGACTGTACCCCTAATGTTTACAGTGAAATAGGGATTGAATTCTGATTTGACAAGCGGTAGAATCGTAAGATTTAAAACAATATCAAAACTGGCCCCACCCACCCACCCCTACTCCTTTTTAAAAACTCATTTTATTGGCTCTTGAGACGGAAGTTGGATTTTATATTGACAAATAATAGAATCTAGGACCACTTTTTTAAATAAAATTTTGACTTTTATTCGAAAAACGACTTTGCGGTCAGCGTTTACATAGAAATAATTACAAATTTTGTGAAATAAACAAAATGAGGTGTAATCGGAAACCCTTCTTCTACGGGCCAATGAAATGATTTATTGAGGTGGAGCTTGTCCGAGTGGGAGGAGCTTCAGTAGAATTGCTTTTTATATATAATCGTTACGTCTGGTAACTTATTTAACACCAGTTTAATATTTTCCAAATATTTTGTTTACAATTCATATATTTTTTCCCCAACGACTTAACAGATTTGCCTGAAATTCTAATAAGATTTGAATTAACAATATCGAAAATAGTCACTAGAATCTAGAGGGGGCGGGTGGGCGGGGCTATTTTTTGCTTATAAGACTCTAGAAAAAAGCAAAACTTGGCTCCGCCCACCTCCTGTGCACATTTCTCTGACTTATTTTATTTATTGTAAAATAGGAATTGAATTCTGATTTGACAAGCGGTAGAATCGGAAAATTTAAAACAAAATCAAAAGTGGCTCCACCCACCCACCCCAACTCATTTAGTTGGCTCTTGAAACGGAAGTTGGATTTTATGTTGACAAATAGTAGACCCTAAGACTAGTTTTTTTTTTATAAAATTTTTACTTTTGTTCGAAAAACGACTTTTGCGTCAGCGTTTACGCAGAAATAATAAAAAATTATGTATAATAGACAACACGAAATACAATCGGAAGCGCCTTTCCTCTTCCACGAACCAATGAAATGTTTTATTGAGCTGGAGCTTGTACGGGTGGGAGGAGCATCAATAGTATTGCTTTTTAAACATAATTCGTACGTCTCGTACGTTTATTTAACACCAGCTTAACACTTTATAGGTATTTTGTTTGCAATTTATCTATTTTCTCCCCAAGAGTTTAACAGAGTTGTCCAAGATTTTAATAAGATAATATAGTTCTTATGAATTAACAATATTAAGAACAGTCATTAGAATTAAGAGCGGGAGGGTGGGCGGGGCTATTTCTTGCTTATAAGATTCTGTAGAAAAAAACTAAACTTAGCTCCGACCACTCCCTCCATTTTTATCATTTTTTTTATTTACTGTCAAATAAGAATTGAATTCTGATTTGACAAGCAGCAGAATAGTAAGATTTAAACCAAAAACCAAAAGTGGACCCACCCACCCACCCATACTAAGTTTGGAAAACTCATTTTATTGGCTCTTGAGACGGAAATTGGATTTTATATTGACAAATAATAGAATCTAGGACTACTTTTTTTAAATAAAATTTTGACTTTTATTCGAAAAACGATTTTGGCGTCAGCGTTTACATAGAAATAATTAATAATTATGTGAAATATACAAAATGAGGTACAAACAGAAACGCCGCCCCTCTTCTACGGGCCAACGAAATGGTTTATTAGGGTGGAGCTTGTGCGAGTGGGAGGAGCGTCAGTAATATTGTTTTTAAATACCATTTTCACGTCTGGTACGTTTATTTAACACCAAGTTAATACTTTCTACATATTTTGTTCACAATTTATTTATTTATAATTAAAAACTGAAAAATCTAAAAATTGAAAATTAAAAGTTGAAAACTCGTGAAATTTCAAATCGAAAAACTGTAAAATCTAGAAATTGAATTGAAAAGTTGAAAAATTGAAAAATTTAAACTTGAAAACTAGAAAAAACGCATTAAAAAAATAAAAAATTAAAGAAAAAATTCAAGTCAAATAAGCTGGCGTTATTTAAGTATGGTGTGTGGATATATCAATATTTTTCGGGTCCTATGCGTGTTTTTATACTCTTCCTTTAATGTTGATAAAAAAAAGGTACACATGGAAATGTAAATGTTGTCATAGTAGTGGTTTTTAAATTTTGGATGACACTTCTTGTAGTACTTTTAAGCCTGACAGTTAAGACATTGTCGTTACTGCCACCTTCTCGCTGTTTTCAACTAAACTTCATATCGTATCTAAAGCCGACCCTGTCGTTTCGAACCTCCCAGATCGTACCCCACCAACTTTCACCATATAAATTCCAAACTTTTCCATTTTCGTCATTTCAAAGTCCGCCATGCCGCGTCTATACATCGGAGACACCGTCCCCAACTTCAAGGCCGAGACCACCCAGGGCCCCATCCAGTTCTACGACTGGCAGGGCGACAAGTGAGTACTTCCCCCAGCCACTCCACCACCTAACTTTGCCCCCCAGGTGGGTGGTCCTCTTCTCCCACCCCGCCGATTTCACCCCCGTGTGCACCACCGAGCTGGGCCGCATCGCCGTCCACCAGCCCCACTTCACCAAACGCAACGTCAAACTCTTGGCCCATTCCTGCGACAAGCTCAAAGATCACGTGGACTGGGTGAACGACATCAAGTCGTATTGTCTGGACATCCCCGGGGAGTTTCCCTACCCCATCATCGCAGACGCGAGTCGCGAACTAGCGGTGGCGCTCGATATGATCGACCACCAGTATAGAAACGACGAAGCGAAGGCGTTGACAGTTAGGGCTCTTTATATCATCGATCCTAAGCACGTTTTGAGACTGTCGATGCACTATCCTCAGTCTACTGGACGCAATGTGGAGTAAGTTGAGTAGAGACAGGTGATCGTATTTTAATTGGGTTTTTCTGTTAAGTGAAATCTTGAGGGTCATCGATTCGTTGCAACTGGTGGATAAGATACCGCAGGTGGCGACACCTGCCAACTGGGTGGTAGGTTTTGTGGTTGGGTGTGATTGGGGTTTTATTTTCTGGGGTTTTTGGTTGTAGCCAGGTGATAAAGTTATGATTTTGCCGACGGTGAAGGATGAAGAGGCGCAGAAATTGTTCGGAGGGAAGGTTGATAAGGTTTCCATGCCCTCTGGGATCGTTTATGTAAGAACGACGACGAATTACAAGGTGTAGAAAAAGAGGATGTTTAATAAACAATATTTTGTTACTTTGTTTTGTTGTATTCTTGACTGCGTGAAGTGAAAATTAGTCTTCTTAGTGTTGGCTAATACACTGTATGTATGTCAAAGCGTATTTCTTTTTAATGAAAACCGGACCAGTTTTTTGTAATAACTTTCGTTCTGTAATTCATCAAGTTTTCGCTTAAATTAATTTTGATGTCTATAATATGACACACTTACTGTGTCCTAGAATTAATTCAATGCACAATCAATGGTCTTGTGTATTGATAGATTAAAATTATCGGTGTATTAATTTGACTGCCACAAAGTGCCAGTCAGAAAAACATGATTTGACGACATTTCTTTGGGTAATGGTTTCTAAAATAAGTTTGAAGTTAGGACCACACAACTACTACTAATATTTAATTTAATTTACTTTAAGTACTTATCAGTACATTTTTATTAAAAATGCATCTAACACTAAGAAGCTTTTATTATATCTAACATCCTTCACAGTTTACCATTTTCTGTGCACAAGTATGAGGCAACTGAATACCTTTGAGTAATACATCCGTGAAACCCTACAATGTTTTAAAACAAACCCCTGATTACTTAAAATTGTTTAAAATACTCACTGTACAAGCACTAATACAGACGGTAATAGGGTAAAATATTACATAGAAGAATGCGGCTATCCCAGCGATCATGAATGAAAACCATAAGCAGATAAACCAGACAATACAGCAGACTGGATTTTTACCCATTCTGATGAACTCAAGGGGGTTAAAATTCAACTTTGTTTTGTCTTTCTGACAGATGGAAAACGACAATTGAACAACAAGGTGACTAGAATGTATTCTCTATTTTTACACAGTTAACAATGTTATAAAATATCGCCTAATATTTTATCACAGTCATTTTTGGGAAAATCAACCCAATTACAACCAAACAGTTCTGAAAAGCAGTCCAAAAACACCGGAATCACTTCTTCTACACCAACAAACCTATTCAGTTCCTTTGACAAACTGGTAACACCTTTCCCTTCTATTCCACAAGGCACAATATGCTCAAACCACTTCAAATCAGTACAACAATTAAGGGCAAGCCCATGCGACGTCACAAACCGGCTACCATGAATCCCAATCGCACATATCTACAACCAAAAAATCAACACTTGGTAGTTTGTCACCAAACACTCACTTTTTTATCTTTAACCCACACCCCTGTGTGAGGCGACGTTTCCGCCTCCAACCCCATTTTTTTACATAATTGGATCACAGTCTTTTCAATCTGACAAACGTACCATCGCATACTGGGTTTGAAGTCTTTTAAATTAATAATTGGGTAAACCACCAGTTGTCCTGGCCCATGAAATGTAATGAGTCCGCCTCTGTTCGTTTTAAAAAAGTCGGCTCCTGCAAAAAATGCGGTTATTTAGAGAAAACCAAATTGTGTGTGTTTACCTAGGTTTTGTAGTTGTTTTTCGACTGATGGGGGGTAGTCTTTGGTTCGAATTCCAATGGTGTAGACAGGGGGGTGCTCCACACACAGAAGGGTGTTTGACAAGGGGTGGTTTTTGTGGTGCAAGCTGACAATGTACTTTTGGAGTTTTAAGCTCTTGGAGTAGCTAAGGCGGCCGATTTGCCACACTTTGACGAGTTTCTGCATCGCGAGGAGTTTGAGGTTATGTTCAACATGTGCGTTCCTCAAACATTTCAAAGGCTAAAATTTAACATTGCGTATAGTTGTTGCTATTATTGATAGTAGAAACCGCAACTAAAATTACTATAACACAAAATAGTGATTAAATTTTTAAATATTGTTAAAATAGTGTAGGCAACCAGTGTTACGCATTGTTGGTTGCATACGCATATGGTTGACAATTTTTTTCATTCATTTTTTGTATCCAATTAATTCTTTTCATGTGTTGTATAAATAGATAAGATATGTATGAATTGGCAGAAACAAGTGTAAAAGCGTTTAAAGTATACTTGGTTGTATAACCCTCTGCAACGTGTTTTTTTTTTAATTTTAAAGATGCATTTTTTGCTCTCACACCTGCCAGAAAATAGACCTAAACGAGTGGGCTAGGAATGTCTGGCATTACTTTATCGATTATTCATCTCCGTCCAAACCCGGCCCCCGCACCTTTAATTAATAAAAAATTAATAACGACGATCGAGATTCTCAATAGCCCCTAACCGACATCCACCCCATAAATTATTCCAAATAAAATCCACAAATATGTCCACATTTAAAGCAACAATGTAACGCATGCGTTCGTTATTACCTGCCCCTTCCCGTCTCTTTTTATTTTCGTTCAGTCCTTTTCTGTTCTATTCAAGTTATTACTATTTTATCCTCAACGTTGTATCTACTCGACATTCAAATTGATGATTGTGTGGAGACCAAACAAACGTGATTTAAATACAGTGTGTACACGGTGTTGTGGCTGAAATGTTCGAAAGCAGTTAAAATCAAAGCGGCGCGGTGTCACGTGGTTTTTGTGTTGTGTTCCGTTGTCATAGGTAACTGAGATCTGTGTATGGGTATAATTTGTTTACGATTTGCGAATTGTTTTTTTTTAATTAATTGGTAGAATTTGATGATTATTGTTGTTTCGAGAAAATTGAAAAACGTATAATAAATTAATGGTGGAATCTCGTCGGGAAAGTTCTTGTCACTGACGTTCTGCATTCGGATCAAGGTGGATTAGGTCAGGTTTTTCAGATTATATGTTTAAAACTCCATCAAAAGTACTTATGGAATTATATGCTGTAACCACGTAGATTTTTTCAGTCCACGCCACTGATTAGTGTAATCTGGATCAAGGTAGATTATCCCAGCTTTAAGCGTGTATTTAATAAATACCTACGGGGGAATATTTAAATAGATTTAAGAATAAATGTCTGAACTATATTAACAGATAATGCTGCTGGGGATTTATCAGTTTGTTTACATCTGCTTGTATTTTTAGATACGGAAAGTCAGGGTGACTTAAAGGGCTTTCGGTATTCGCTGGAGATAGCGACTTTGGAATTTACTCAGCACTGTTAAATAATAACTGTACAGTTGAGTCATGTCTACGCAATGAAACGAGAAGAATAAAAAACGAATAAAAACAATAAAGATAATAGAATTGGATAAACCAATGGACTGTAATTGTTATATTGGATACATTGTGGTTCGTAAAATTTCGTCTCAGTATTGTTCACAAACACAAGTCGTCATTTTTATGGATACACAATTATGTGCACAAGGACACTCTTATCGGGCTATTAATTTTGACATTGTAAGTAAAAGAGTGTTTATTTGTTATGCAAATAGTGATCGTGGTTTTTCAAAGCACACAACGACATTAAAAAAACAGTCTCGTTTTCGGTTACCTGTACAGGTAATTTGTTTCTTGTTACAGCATACGAAATTTATTATGAGCAATTTTAATGGATAATTTCCGCTGTTTACAGCATATTTTAAGCCGGAAATGCTCGTTTTTAGATTAAAATGTCTAAAGAAAAACGGGCAATAATTGCCTCATGCTCTTAAGACCGATCACATGAGATTTATCGGTGATTTTGAATTGATCGATTGTTGTTTGCGTCACACAATAGGAGTTTTTATGTGTTGTCTTAGTGATCCTTGAACCGAGCTACGACGGATCGATGACGTCGATAAGACCCCCCGCCATTTTTTTACATTTATTTAATAATAATAGCAGGGTTTATTAAATATTACGTAAGTCGTAGTATTACTATTTTTAGGTCGATTCGTCGGAAATATTTATATCTGAATTTATTGTTGCGGGACGCATATAAAATGTCTTTTTGTTTCTAATTCCGGGCCGTAAAACGTGGGGATCCATGCCAAGAGAATGTTTTCGAGACTAAAGAAAAGATTTTTTAATGGACGTGTAAAATTACGGGGTTTTTCACAGGTAGTTGCACAAATCTGTCGCATAATCCAGCCAGGATGTGCAATTTGCGATTATTTTTACATTTGTGTTTTGGTGTCACGAGGCTACAAATTTCGAAAAATCTGATAAATTTACAAAATCTGTATTGGCAATCGGATTGTAAGTAGGTATATAAAAATTTATGTACCTATTAAAACGATTTACTGCAAAAAGGTATAGTTATCTAGTTAAGTTTTCATTCATTCTGGCTTAAATCGAGTTTTAATGGTTTTAATTTTAGTACGCAGCTTGTAGTTAATTAAACTTGCCCATTATAGATGGTTATTTTTTACAATACGAAGATCAAACCGAAAATCGAGTGAAAAACCGTATTTACGTAAAACTAAAATAAATAAAAATTATTCATGACTGCACTCGACGCACCCGGCCATGGTCTTTATCGCTCACACCAAAACAAATTATTATAAAAACGATAAACACTATTTAAACACTCGTGTTTAAAACATTCCTGTGTGCTAACTACCGATATCCTTACAATCCGGGCATTATCTCAAAATAACTTGCACCTAGCCTAGAACTTTATCCCGACAACAACATAAAAACTAATTTTAATCAGTTAGAAAGTAGATTTTTCACTAGACCATGTTTTATCCTTCACGTTGCGTGTCCAGCCATACACAGGTACGTTTGACCGTGACTATAATGATAACGATTTATCATAGTTGCTTTTGTTCTTGAAATAACCATAATTCCATTGCCACCAACTAATTACCCGGAGATGAGTCCCACATCCTCCAATTTTTTATTATTGTAACCCTAAACACGACATTCAGTTATGTTCCAAAGGTGTTCGACATTTCTGTAGAGTAAAATTCACGACAGGTTGTGATCGATGAGCCTTGACATTATTGCGATAACGCGGTCAATGTCTTCGTTACACTTTTATTTTTCACGAGGTATTAAGCGGCAAAAACTGAAAACGTTGACGGTGTCAAACGGGAGGGTGGTTGGGACGCCTGATTGGTTCGTTGTCGTGACGATTTAAAAAGCGCTGTGTGATTGGGTGGTTGTCATGACGAAAAGCAAAGGTAGTCAAATGCGACAGACTTGGTGGCTTTGTGTATTATGGTAATGGGATCATTAGACTTTCCACGCCTCGACATTTAATCAAATGTTGTTTCATTATTGTGGCGTAGTTTTCGTGTTCCTGAACATGCCCTAAATTCGTGAAGGTGGGGCGAGTACGGGTTGAGTTTGTGTGTGTATTAATGATGTGTCAATTTTTGATTAATTTTAGCGATCGATATTGATATAGTTGTCATAAACAAGTTTGTATTGGGTTTTTTGTTGTTTATAACTGGGAACGTGATATTTTAAGGTAGCTATAGTTGGGGAAATGGCTGATTACAGGTGTCTTACTTAGAACTGAGATAGTACATTTTTCAGTTGATTTTTTTTTGATAGTGTATTATTAAAAAAAGTCAAAAAACATTCTAAATATGTCTCAGTTTTGTGAGACTAGAAAAGATTAATACATTTAATGCTCTTTTTTATTGTCGATACCACGCTGTTTTAAGATTGTTTCAAACTAAAATAATGTTAAAACACATTCGACATCATCTTATAAACATACTTATTCTCACTTTATTTGCTTACTTTATTTTATGAATAGTACTAAAGCAACTTATGCATTTGATCATTTCAGTATTTGTTTCAATCTGGCTCTAATATTAAATTTACCATAGACTAACCAGGGCGCTTTAAATACGATTTTTTACTGTTTGAATGTGGGTTTGTGTTTGGAAATTTCGACACTTTCCATGGTTCGCGGCCAATACAGTTCAAGGTTCTTTGATTCAGCCGGCGGTGTGTAGTTATACGATTTTTTTTTGTAGGTGGTGGAGTCAATATGAATTTAACAATAAGAACATTTACATTTTTACGACAGTGCTTAAAATTTAATCAACGAATTATTGCTTGAAATCTTAGAGTCAATAAGTGTTAAAAGTGAGATAAAATTAATAGTGATTAATATTTTTCATTAAATAATATTTTTATGGCTGACTTTGTTAATCTGAAATTTAGTAGTTTTTGACACCAATTAATTGCTGTTTTAAAGTTTTTTAATGCAGAAAAAAAAAAGTTATACATAATTTTGACTTTTTTAAATTCATTAGTAGGCAACAAAATCAAAATATCAAGATCTTTTCAAAATGTGTCAACAAGAAACTATAAGAGGCCTTCAAGATTCTTTCACATTCTTTCAAAAAGACACTAGGGGCACATAAAGCTCTTTCAAAAATAAAGCGTTAGGAGTTTCCAAGATCTTTTTAAATTGTTTCAAAAACAAAATACAAGGGCTCCCAAGATTCTTTCACATTTCTAAAAAATTGGTCGAAGGTTATTTCAACAGAACTTCCGTCACCCCTGAAGTGCAGCCAAATAAATCCTACTTCTCTGAAAAATTATAATTTTTTTTTTCTGATAACCCAGCTTATTTGACTTGAATTTTTTCTTGAATTTTTTATTTTTTTTATCCTTTCAATTTCTAGATTTTGCAATTTTTCGATTTGAGTTTTTCGAGTTTTTGATTTTTAATTTTTCCATGTGCAATTTTCCGTTTCAGTTTTTTATTTTCTTTATTTTTACAGTTTTTCAATGTTCCCATTTTATAATTTTTTGTTTTTTCATTTTCAATTTTTTCAAGTTTTCTTTTTTCTTTCTTCAATTTAACTATACGTAACTCATTAAGTTTTTAGATTTTGTAGTTTTTCGATTTGAAATTTCACGAATTTTCAGTTTTTAGGTT